GAGGCCGACGAGGAGGACAGTGCATAGGAGCTTACCAAGTTGTCCCAGGATGTTTGACTGAACTGATCCCTTTCCACTGGAGTGATCTTTCCTCCGGGATGCTTTCGAACTCCGTGGTTGATAGCATACACTGGGACCTGGGTCTCGGTGTTGGGGATCTGATAGTCCTTGTCCAGCGCCTTCTTGATCTTCCCGCAAGCCGTGCACTCCAAGAAGCGGCCGTGCTTGTTCCCCAGTCTGCGGGCATAAGCCAGCTCGTGAGGGCAACGTTGTAGTGCCATTGGATAGCCGGCTTGGAAGATCGCCTTGGTCTGCCCCTTGGCGTTGGTGGTTGATGGAGGCAGGGTCGCCGGAAGTGTCATCTCTTCGGCTTCTGCCTGGCTTCTGACCATCATAGCCTCTGCGTAACCCACCAGAGCCGGTGAACGGTGCTTCATCTCCCTGATCATCTTGTTGCTGTGGATCCACTGCTGCGTCATCCTCATCAAAGTGGACAACTTGAGGACGATGCGCTGCCACATCACGGTTGGGCTGCATCTTGTCTTCGCAGTGGATGACCTTCTCATCGTCGGTGTTACCTTGAACCAACTTTGAGCCGAATTGCCCTTGGGGGATCACAAAACGAGTCTGCTTGGTGGACGCGGCATGCTCGAACATGTGATTGTCGCCGCCAATGTCAAAAGTGTTGATGCGCTTGTCATGCTGTGATGTTGTCAAACTGGATGGGTGAACAAAACGATGTGAACCATCTGGAAAAACAACTTCAACACCAAATTGGGGAACAGGTGGCAACTTCATGTTCTTGACGTCAGCATCTTTCAAAAGAAAGCATGTCATGCCTGTCCACTTTGCGTCATGTGATGTAGGTGATGATGATGATGACGACTGCCACATGTCAACCTCATGTTCACCGCCTGCACGAATTGTGATCCTCTCACCCCTGAAGACCTGAGTATCTGGCCTGTCGTGGGCTTCCACGGGATCGAAGAGGCTGTTTCGTGGCCTGCAGTGGTGTCGAATGACCATACCGTGGTAGGTGTACTCCCAAAAGTCAGGGGGCACTCGCACTGGAGAGTTGCTCAAGTCTTGGTTCATGCTATCATGATTGGGCTCATAGATGTAGTTGGGGCTGGAGTCAACTGCACATGAAGACCGGTTGCGCTCCTTTTTCTCGACCACTGCAAACACCGCTCCCGGATATTCTTCCAGGGCAAAAGGTGCCTGATGAGGCCAGCCGCTGTTGGGGAACTCGTCAATGGCGACCACCAAATGGCCGGTGTGATCCACATACAAAGGGACCTTCACCCCGATCAGCGGAAACTCAATGGCGCTGTTGCCGATGTCGATCACAGCGCCCATCATCAAAAGCCAGTCTTGTCCAGCTAAAAAGGGAATGCCGTTCGGCCCAACACTGCCGTAGAGCTTGTCCTCCTGGATGACCGATGTCTTGACGACTGCAGCGACATCGCCAATCCCGACCGGCACAGCAAGCCTCGTCACAGAGGTCTGAGGTGCGCCAGGTCCGAAGCAGTAGTGCTCGTTCTCGGTCTCCGCGGTCGGCACAATGTTGAACTTGTACAGCATGTCCAGGAGCTTCTGGGCATAGTTGGAGCCACACACCGTGTTCTCACACGCCGTATCTATTGTCAGATATGCACGGCCTGGCATGACCGTTGGTCGTCGGCGCAGCAGGCTGGACACCGTGCGTGGACTGCCATCTGGGATCATCTCGTCGTCCTCGAGGTCGCTGATGTCGGCGTAGTTGATGGTGCGAGTCACATAGGTTTGCCGCACCCTCAAGGCATCAACGTCCGGCACGGGCATGTCCTTCAACAGCTCCCACACCGAGCCAAGCTCCTCGTAGGTCTTGCCGGATTTGGCATTCTTGGGCATATTGGCAACTTCATCTCGTGCTTGTTGAACTGCCGCAGGTCCGGCACTGGCAGAGGAACTTGACGACTTTGACGCCTCCAACAAGCCACGGACGTAGAGGTAGTTGGCAGTGAGCTCCATATCATCTGAGCGCAGTGACTTGGGATTGCGGTCACTGGGCATTGAACCCGATCTTTTGGACTTCAGCATGGTGATGTTCTTGGCCGTCTCATAGGCTTCATCATGGAGTTCATCACGAACAGGACTGGTGCGATGAGCTTGATGAGCAACACGTCGAGTTGCCTGAGAGCCCCGCGCCGCTGAAGAGGTCTGGGCATCATGCGTCCAATCCTCTGCTCCATATGGATTCCATTCAGCGTGCCAATCGTAGGTCTCCTCAGCCTCATCATAGTGTTGTTCTTCGTCACCACATTGGCCACCAGTCACGTTGGCCTTCCGCATAGGGCATGCTGCATCACCATGCCAGTGACCCACTTGGCCGCAATCTCCACAAGCTGTCTTGGCCTTGAGCTCCTCGAGAGTCAGGCCACCTCTGGTCTTTCCGCCTTTCTTGCCCTTGCCACCGCCTTTGGCGGTCTTGCCGCCTTTCTTTCCTTTGCCCTTTGACTTGCCCTTGACATAGTATCCACGAGCTTGCACAGCCTTTGCGAGTTTCTGTCGGTTCTCGCGGTGGCTGGTGAACACTGTGTGCAACTCCCGGGCAAGTTCTTCGGGAAGAGGTGCTTCAGCATCGTCGTAGGCAAAGTTCTCGGCGATGTGCTCCACAGGGTCGTAGTACTCCAGCCATTCATCCAGCTGAGGGTCAGTAGCTTCTGGCATCGGCCAGTCGCCTGACCATGCATCATTCTGAACTTCGTGTGCTCCACGTGCACGACCATAGCCGCCCTTGCCAGCAGTTGCACCAGGACGAACTGTCACCGTGGGGTAGAGCAAGTCCACGGCCTTCTTGATGAGTGACCAATCATAGGCCCCGTTGGTCCTGAGGAGGAGGTTGGCCTGCCGCTCATGCGACGCGTTGGAGTGCTCGAAGAAAAAGTACACCATGACTGCGTCGGGGATGGTCAGTCCAGCATCTCGGCACTGGCGTGCCGCTTTATCCATGAGATCTACCACGTCCCTCATGGTCATGGCTTTCTCCTTGCTCTCCTTGTTCTCGAGCTGCAGCTTGAAGAAATTCTTCATCGCAGTGCCAACCTTCGCCATCTTGGTCTCATCGAACTTCTCCTTCAGCACCCGGAGCAAGACCTTCCAGCCATCGGCCTCGCCAAAAGCACGAGCTGGGACGTCCTCCAAATAGGACTCGGCTTCTCCTTCTAAGGCCGCATGGAGCCTCAAGCCGATCTCACCAGGGTCTATGATCTTTTCAGCAATCGCCACATAGGAGTCCACCTTGTTCGCGTACTTCTTGAAGCAGGCCGGATCAGCTTTCCGGTCGCCACTGAACTTCGGAGCTTGGGGAAGATTTCCTCGTGGCTTCCGTTGCGACGATGAAGACTTCTCGGACTTCACCTTGCTCTTGGAAGCTAATGAATCTTCCGAAGCATGAGAAGCAGCGCCATCATTGGACTTCTTCGTGAACATGTCGCGAACACGCGGTCGCCCTCCTTCGCGAACACGCGGTCGCCCTTCTTCACGTTGTGGTGATTCTTCAGGTGAGGTCCTGGGGCCATTGCGACCGGACCTCGCAGGTGATGGTGATGGCATAGAAGGTGATGGAGAACCTCGGTGGCCACTAGAACCGTCACGGCTGTCAGAGCCTGGTTGGTGTCCCGAATGACCTTGGTCTCCTTGACGTCCACCTTCTTCAGGAGGTTGACCCACGTAGTCACCAGAGTACTCATCGTCATCCTCCGGCGTCTCCTCCTCTTCAGTCTCATCACCATCGCCGTAGAGCTCCTCATCCTCATAGGTAGGAGGCCCCACGTAGTCCGCATCGCCTTCGACGTGCGGAGCAGCCATCGTGGTGCACGCTGCGACCACGAAGGATCTTCAGCACACGCTACCAATGCAATCCGAGGGGTTCACACCAAAGGATTCTATGGCTAGTGGAGCCGGGTTCGCACAGCTAACAATTGGAGAAATCAACGGGCGTTGCACAGCCCCTTTTTGTCTATGTCGCTCAAGGGCCCTAATCCAGCGGGCAGTGCAAATGCAATCAAACCTGACATCAAATGGATCTCATGCTCATGATTTCACATGGGAATTGCAGTAAGCAGTTGACACAGTTCAGCTCATTGTGTCACATCAAACATAGAATAAGTCCTCTTTCATCTCCACATCCTCGTCTTTGACTGCTTCCTTTACTTCCTCCTTCACCTCCTAGAGGCAATCGTAGTGTCATAGTGTAAAAAGTGGTGATGTAGCGGTCCTAATCGTTGCACCATGGAGAAAAAAAATGGTGACCCCTTGCTTCCTACAAGCACTCCATGCGCGACGCGTATCCTTAGACTTAAGATTAATTCTAGGTTGAGCATATGGATCTATATGGATAGTATGTCGATGAAATGACGCTAAACAATTTGCCGAACAAAACCCCTCAAAGTTTGCAATTGTATATCTGTCAGTGAGTCAGGAATTCTGCCGTACGATGCCGTACGATGCCGTACGTTTGCCAACGATGCAAACTTAGGCCCATTGTCAGGACACATAGCATCAACTTGCTCAAAGACCTTCATCACCATTGATACACACAAACACACATCATCCGCCAAAAGGCAAGAATGGCATTATTGGGCATTGATGTCACTTATGATGTTGCTTCTTCTGGTTTCTGCCGAACTGAACAGTGCCTCCTTTTTAACCTCCTCCTCCTCCTTCTTCATCTCTTCCTTTGCCCTTCTTTCAGCCTGCTCTGCACAAGCAAATGTTTCCAAATGCAAAGGTGCCCAAAGTATGAAAGAAGGAAAAAACGGCACAACAAAAAAGGTGAGCAACTACATGTGAGTACAATCCCGATGAAGATTTCACTGTACAAGGGGAGGAATCTCAGTCGATAGTCCGCCTTTTGATTCGAGCCTAAGGATGATCGGATTCCTGATTGATGTTGCATCATGTTGCATCTCACACTACTGATAGCTCCGACGCAACTCATCCCCTCAACAAAGATATCACTCTGCCTTAGGATCCTTAGGCTCTTTGAACTTTAGACCAACTCCTTCATGTGCGGGAGCAGGCTTGGTCTCCTTTGCAGAAGAAGAGTCAAGGTTGAGTTTGTGGCTGCAATATTGGGTACATGGTACATGGCAGTGACACAATTATCCCGAGTGGAGATTATGTTTGGAGATGTTTGAGATGTCCAACAGAAACTTAAAAGCTAGTGTCGTGTCCTGCCGACCATTGCCCTGCTTCGATTTGCAGCAGTACTCACAGATTGGACCCTCAACTGGATTCAAACGGCCTTGTAGATGGAATGACCTTTAATATCCTTTAATCATGTTTAATCCACGTTAGCAACTTCAGCACGAAGATTGCTTTCAGCCAGGGGATGCACAAGAAATTAGGCAGAAATCGGCTGAACAATTTCAGAATATATGTTTAAACAGTTTAAAGTTTGCCGTGACAAGAGTTAGATGCCTCAAACAAAATCCGAAAGCACATGAAAGCCATGAAAGCAAAAAAAAGAGTCTGACAGAAGAGCTCCAATTGATTTCAAGGGCGTGCAATGTGCAAGGCAAGTAGACCCTCTCATCTCCCGGCCTCCTGATTTTCAAGTAATGCCTCCACCTGCAACCCACGTGATCAGCACTGCTGCACCCAGTGTCGAACAGCTTGAACATGGTGGAGAGTGAAGGAGCAACTTAAAGAACTGTGGTGCAAAGTCACGAAGCGATTCAAAAGGCGCAGGTCTTAGCAGGTCATAGTGGCTGTGGCTCTCATCTGAGACCAAAGGAACAAGTCTAACATGGCGCCTCAGCACCAGGTGTCTCAGCTAAGGCCTTGAACACTCGGAAGGGGGACGGGTGAAATACCGCGAAATCGAAATCTAAAATATAAAATGAAGTAAAATGAATATGAGACAATGTCTCTCATGCCTCATATTTCACAGAAAATCAGAGCTGCAACTTTTGAGTCTGAAGAGGGAAGCTCAAAGCCCTGACTCAGTGACCAGCATCTAACTCCTTGATTTCATCGAGGAAGTTGGCAAACTCATCCTGCCACAAATGCATAAATTTGCCATAACGATCCATGAAAGGACCAGCTGATCCTATTTTCAAAGCTCCCATCCAAACAGAACAGAAAACGGTCTCCAAGCGGCCCCCGACCCCAAGGACTCGAATTTCTTTGCAGTGGCTGATAGTTGCTGCGCACTGGCCATTCGGATATGTCACACTAATATACCCTCTCCATCCCTCTCCCACACACCTTCGAGTCATTTGCGCCCTTCGCATCCTTGTCTTTTTTCAAATCTTGGAACAGCTCGGTGTCACTACCCTGCGACTCGGCACCTGGAGAAGCAAGCCCGGGCAAACAGTTCAGTGACTGTACTGAATCAATCGGTTTTGCTTAAAGAACTACTTGACTTGGATGCTAAACTCGAAAAAAGGCGACAGCTCTCCTTGATCTGTAAATGTTCTAGACTCTTGTCTGCTGTATTGGCCAGACGTTTCTATGATGACTAGCCTAAGACCTAGTGCCATTTCTGTGGCTGCAAGGCATGCCAGCCTGAGCACACAATACATGATGTTAGCATTCAAGAGCATTCTTGGGTGCTTTTTGTGTTTAACATGGAACACTGCCCTTCAAACAATGCACCCTTAACATGGAACCTCAGATTGTTTTTTCTATGTAATTCTTTAGGGGAGCTGACCCACCTGTTTCGGCAGCGTCTGGCCTAAGCGCGCACAACCGCCCAATCTGACATTTCAGATGCCAATTTGGAAAATTTGGTAGTGAAGATCCCAGCATTCTCCCCCCCACCAGTTGCTCAAAGGCTGCAGGCCATTATCATTTGCCCATTAAAGAGTTTTTGTCTTCCATTGGTAGGCTGAAAGGAGCTGAAAAGAAAACAAATATAGAAGAACAGAAAACAGCATTGAACAAATGTGATGCTCTTCAAATATTGTTTCTTTGCCTTGGGTCCACACTGCTCCTGTTTTGTCTCACCAGTCAATGTGCCTCGTTGAAACTCAACTGCAAGAGTCTCAAATTCTCAAAGAACTGGAGGTCCGGCCCGGAACACTGGAACCTGTAGCTAATCTGAAACAGTCACTTGTGATTCTTCTGCAAGTCCGTGCCTGACTCTGCTCCTTCCTGCACGCACTGAAGTCAAATGGGATAAATTAATTGGATCCACTACATTCCAGGACTGCATGCGAGTGGCTATTTGTGCCAGGGAACTCTGCCCACACAGAACTTTGCACTCCAAAGATGCAGCTTTTTGTCTAGATCTGCATGTGGCTAAGATTCTGAAAGATTCGTACGACATATGCACTAAGTGAGCATCCACATCGTCTACTATGTCTGCAGCAAAAGAATCACATCCTGTAAAAAAGTACAGGTGCCCTTGAACATGATGTGCAATTCATGTGTCATATGAAAGTTCTTTAAAGCTGTCAAAGGTTATTAATTACTCTAACGTAGTGTACAAATTTCGAAAAGATGCTCAAAGTTATTATAAGACATTATATGACATTGTACGTTACTATGAGTTCTTATCTAATATTATGTGTTAACCAGTTCAATTTTCATCTTCCTAAGAACCAGCTCATCTCAGCTGCCATCCGGAGCATGGCACCTTTCTTTTCACATCTTGGAAGAGCTCTGTGTCACTCTCGGGTGAGGCGGAGCCAGGGCCTGCAGCGCGGATAGACAATGCTTGAAAATACAGGAGAAAGGCCACAGCCATCCACAGCCTGAATTGTAACAAACTTCTCATCCCTTCACGGCCTTCAGCTTTTTGATTTCCCCCGAACCTGAGACACGCTGAGGGCCCAAGGTGCTGATGTGTCCTCTGCCACCTGTTCATCCACGATGACAGGCAGTTGACTCATGACATCTCAGGACCAAACTGCACTCCGCGTTTTGGTCCATCGGTGGCTTTGGGAGCTTTTGGCACAGTTTTGCCTTGGTGGCAAGATTGAATTTGTGTTGCAGCTAAGCAGCTACGGCAGCTACCTGTATCTTGGGGAAATAATGAGAATGAGAATGACACGCACATGCCTCAAATTGTCCTCAAAGACCTGGTGCCCAGCTGCAAAGACTTTTGATGGCGAATTGCCAGTTGGGCCTTTGAAAGCTGAAACCTTGTCTGGCCTCAAATGGCAGAACTTGTTGCCCTAAGTATTTTTGCTGGCTATGCTACGGGGAATGCTATAGCCTATTCCTCTACCTTCAAAATCTACGTCAGCTTCTTACATCCTGGGCCCAAATATGGCATACCCAAGAGAATGTCATAAGATGTCATAAGCTTGGGTAAACTTTCAAGGAAGTGTCCGTCCACCCTTCGGCATCCAAACGCTCCCAGCGAAGGTCGGGTTCGTTGACATCCACTGGTGATCCCTGTCACGAAAGTGTAGCATACCCCCAGATTATGCTGACCTGTAGCGAACTTGAGCATGCATTGCAACAATTTGTAACATGTACAATCTGACAGTCTGCGCCCCAAGTAGATAGCCGGAGTATTGGCCATATAAGCAATTCTTGCATCTTTGTGTGTTTCTGTTTTGTTGGATGTGTTTTGGATGAAGCGCAATCATTGTCAATTGACGCAGTCCGTACAAGTAGCATCAAAATGGCCGAAATTGGCCATACAGAGCATGCCTCAATCACCCTCAACCAAAAAATGCACAAACTGCTTGGTTACTGTAAGGTTGACTAATCACATCTAATCACAGGACACAGGACACAGCGGTCCTCTTCTTCTTCTTCAGCGGGGTCCTCGGCAAACGTTAGGCATTGCGACCTTCCGGTGGCCTTGCAGTGGCTTCCCCGCTGGCATTGCTTCAAGCAGGAGCCCGCTGCAGCTGCAGTCCATGATCCAAAACTTGAAGTGCAAAACACCCAAATCAGTGCGATGCGGCCATGTGCATGTGCCAATTTCTCAGTGCTCTACAAGTACAGCAGCATCTTCTAGCATCTTCTAGTGTCTTTAAAGATAGTCGTCCATCCCACGAGCACCCTCAGTCCTCTTCTCCATCTTTAGACTGTTCCGTCTTCCTGGGAAAACTGGAACTTGAAGGTGTTGAGTCTTATGTGAACTCTGGTTTGACTGTCCTAATCATTTAATCCGATCACACAAATTTTGGCCTAGATGCCGTCTAGATGGCATGGTTGTAATCTGTTCAGTCTAAAGGTGCAATTTGGTAATTAAATAGGGTTGGGTTTTATACATGAGTTAACTTGACCATGAGATTTCGAACAAAATAACCCTTCCGTTTGAATGCAAAACACCGTGCCCACCTATTCTTCCGGGTAGGAACGAGTGGATACATCATAATTCAGAGTCTTTCATGAGCCGAAAATAAAAACCAAACATAATTCCAACGAATCAACAAATTATGGATTGTGTTCTTTCTTTTTTTAAGTGCATTTCTCGTACGATTGTAGGCTACTACATCTACTACAACTTTTCATGTGATGTGTGTGTGTGTCTTCATGTCAAGTTTCCTTCAACATCGTTCAACACTGAAGGGCGCCCTGTTGGGGATGGCACGAGTTGTTTTCCTCAGCTGGCACCTGCAAAAGGTTCGTCTGTGCAAAACGGGTGGCTCGAGCTACCACTTAGAATTGCAATGATTCATTGCCTGACTTTAGCAAAACAAGAGCGGACAAGTGATCCGTTCAAGCAGATTCCGGCTTCCCCTCTCCAAAAGTTGCAAGCAAAACCGTGCCGGTTTGCTCGCTCCTGGCGACAGGCCTTCAGAGGCGTCTTCTCAGTGGTTGCTGCAGTTGCTTTGGTGCCTGCAATGTTGAGGCACACAAATGCAAGGAAAACCTGCTTAACATGAATCAGTCAGTCAAAGGCGAGCCCCTAGTAAGATGTAAGAGTTTGCAAAAGCAGAGAGGGAAATCAAAACTGACTATATATCTCAGGCAGCATGCAACGTCATGTTGTACCCGCGAGGCATCAAGAGGTATGCTTGCCTGTTCTTAGTCTCTCCTTTATGGTGCTCTCTTGGGTTTCTCCCAATTGCCAGGGATTGTAGTCCCAAAGTCTTAAACATCAACACACCACCAGCAAGTCTCACAAAGAAGCTTTGCGGCCGCAAAGTCACGGAGATGTATTCGTCCGACCCAGCTAATATCATGCATTTATAAATACTGTATCTCCCATGGAGTTCTGTGACTCAATAAGAAAGGAACCAAATTTTCGATGCTGCCAAAGAGGAGTTTCTGATTGGCCAACAATGAACATGAATCAAATGTGGCCCGCAGATGCCAGCAGAAGTAAAACAATCAAAGAGTATCAAAGAGTTACATCTCAATCATCTCATGCATGAAATTACTGGGGCACTCATCGCAAACCCAAGCCTTTGGATCCTTCAGCCGCTTCTGCCTTTGCCCAACGCTCGGGGAGATGGGTCAAGCCGTCGTGTTTTTGGATGGGTACAAACATGGGATCTCATAGTGAGTATACGTCATCAGCAAGGTTGATGAGCTGATGTTCATATCCATTGCTAGAGGCAAAACAAAGTTGTTTTCCTCGGATACTGCAACCACACTAGAGCGCGGAAAGCTGAATTAATGTCAGCTGGCAACCAATATCAACTGATTTACAACTCAATACGCAGTAGACAGGGCTGAAATTATAGGGTCCTCAAGTGGAAATCAAAACTAGAGGTCACAAAATGTCGCAAAGCTGTTCTCAAAGAAAAGTCAATTGTTGTTTTGTGTAGTTCACCATTCTTTTACTTGTCAATTTCCATATTTCCATGGGTTCAGACAGTTCACAAACCTCTGCAGCGAAGCATGGACTTCTACTTTGGTCTTGTCTCACGTCCACAGACATACTCATAGTCGTTCACACCGCAGAGTCCCCGGCCTCATTGTTGCTCTCCTGCAATGAAGTCAGCCATAGACGGACTATGACGGACTAGAAGCACACCAGAGAAAAGCACAAATGACCAAAACAAGAAACATAACACACGCACACACATACATACACACACACACATATACACACATGAACAGAGAATTTGGGCTCTTAAATCTGATGAACACTCCTGAGCACTGTTCAGCACCTTTTCACTCAGTTAGCTCGAAGGTGGCCAAAAACACTAAAATGGCTGCAGCACATATACAAACATATGTACTACATGTAACATGGTCTATTATACTGTACACATATCTGATCACGCCTCCCGAGCCTGTTCGGAGGCACGGTGAGTCCAAGTGTTTTGAACTAGGCGAGTTTTGATATGTACAGCTACGCATAGCCACGACTCAAGCCATCTATGCCTTCAGTGTCAGGTGATGTTCACCTTCCAGAAAGTGAAAGTTCATATTCCGCAGTGTCTTGTTCATCTTCTCCTCTATGACGGGTTTCGTCAAGACGTCGGCAAGCATATCGCCAGTGTCGACCTTCTTCAGCCGAAAGTAGCGCTTGGCAACGCGGTCTTGTACCCAGTGGTATTGAGTATCCACGTGCTTGGCCTTGCCTAATCCTCTACGTGAACCCATTGCTATTCCTGCACTTGCATCCATGAAAACTTCACTCTCAGGTTGCAAACCCCAGTCTTTGGCGGTTGAAACTTCTCCCAGCAAATTGCTGGCACCGCTCACAAGAGCGTAATACTCACTCTCTCCAGACGAAAGACTAACAACTCCTTGTCCTTTAGAATAAGTCTTGATACAACAACCACCGGCCATCAAGACGCCTCCTGACACGCTCTTCCTCGTCTTCACGCATCCAGCGTGGTCAGCATCAGACCACATCACAAATGGACTGAGTTTGTTCTGATGAGGAAGGAATTGTGCCATGCGTGGTCGATACCTAAGGTATCGTGCAACTCTTTTGAGCATAAGCATGTGGCTGGTAGTTGGTCGTTGTAGCCCTTGTGCTAAAGATCTTGTTGCTACTTGCAAATTTGGTCGGTCTTGTGCCAAATAAGCTGCTCGCATTGCAACTGATCTATACTGGGTTGCTTCTTCACCGTTGAGAAAAACAGCGGCATCCTTAAGATCTTCCACTGATCCTTTGGCAAGTGGTGTCTTGACTTTGGCTCCTCGGGGACCATCTCCGAGTAAATCAATCACCAACTCTGCGTGACGTGCATCTGGTTCCCACCAAATTCCATTCTCCTTCCACGTGATGATTCTGTTCAGGACTCTGATGTCCTGGATGGTGTTTGGTGTTCCTGGTGGTCCTAAAATACCACGTTCCACACATTTCCACTTCTTTGACAGCTCTTCATGAAGCCATTTGATGTTGTCAAATGTTCCTGCTGTTGTAAAATCATCTCCATGTACAACAGTTCTGAGGTCTCGGCCTGCATGGTAGTATATGCATGGATTGCTTTTTCCTTGCTTGAAACCCAAGGCCAACATGACCTTCTGTATTTGCAACTCCCAGTTGAGAGGTGCATCTCTGGTTCCATACAATGACTTGAGCAATCTTCCTACCACATCTTCTCCAGGCTTCTTTGCTTCTGCAGGAAGCTCCACGTAAATCTCGCGCGTCGCATCTGAATAAAAGTGAGCGCGTTTCACATCCAGGAATCCTAGAAGTCTACGCTTGCGATAGGCTTCCTTGACAGCTTTTCCAGCGTCTGGCAACTGAAACGTCACGGCTATTGTAACTAGCATCTTCAAAGCAGACAAACTGGGCATGGCTGCGAAGAACTCATCAAAACCTGAGCCCTTCTTGACTTCTTGAGCTACTAACCTACTTCTATAAAGTGGATTCTCCTCATCCTGCTTGTTGACATATACCCATCGTGTTCCAATGGTGCGTACCCCTTTGGGCATCTTGTGTCTGGGAATCTTTTCCCAACCGGAAAACTTTCAATAATTTCGACCTCATCTTTTCTGGCTTGTTCTACACCTTTGCTGTCCAAAATCTTTCCACTGATATCATCATAATAATACCATGTAACTGCTTCATCTTCCAACTCCGGTGGAAGAGGAATTGTTTCTTCGCAAACTGGCTCTTCTTCACCTTCAATGGACTGAAGATACCTCTCCCGATCTTCCATGATCAGGTTCATAAGACATTGGTCTATATCATCCATGTCATCTGGTCTCTCATTCTCAGGTGGCCGTTTGGTGCCCTTAGACGCCTGAAGCAGCTCGGCTGTCTTTGGCTTTTGACGTCTCGCCTCCTGAGTCTGCAGGTCTCTTCTGACCTTTGGTTGGTGACATCTCCAACCTCTTGTGTGATCTTTCTTCTTGCTCGCCTCCTGCTCTCTTGGCTGAGGCTGAGCTTGCACTAGCTCCTACTCCAGTTGCAGTAGGATCTTGTACTACTGGACCTGATGTTCCAGCAGTTGGCAAACTTGGCGCTGATTCCCCTGTGGCAGAATACCACAGCTCAGTGACAATGTCTGTGTCATCAATCAACGGTGCGTTGATGACGTCTTCTCCTAAGTTAGGATCTATTGGTTCAGACTTAATCATGTCTCCTGTCTTGAACTCTCTGGTGACTCTCCACCAGACGTTATCCCAACTGGGACCTTCTGGCATAGTACCCTTGAGATACCTTGCATTCCTGTCAAGGCGCGCAAACACCTTGAAACCTTGAGGGACTCCTTGTGGTCTCTCACTTGAATATCCATAAAGGATCTTTGTGCCTTCTTTGGGCACTTCTTGTTTCTGAGCAATGATTTCAGAATCAACCTTGGCCGTATGTTGGGCTACTCTCAGGTTGCCCTCTTCTGCTTCTGCTTGAAGCAGACGTTCCCTCCTTTCTCTGCAAGCTGGAGTGTGATGAACTCCAGTGCCTCTCTTGCCAATTCTAGTGGCATCACAGGCGACACAACCAGCTGTGTAGCCATATTTGTCCAAATCACGTTTGGTGATGTAAAGTCGTCTTGTTGACTTCTTTGGTGACTCAACTGGCACTGATGGCGCCAGTGGCTGCTGATCTCCCTCAACAATCTGAGGAAGCAAAATGTCATTTCTTTTTGATGCCTGGGGATCCCAAGGAACCCCAGTGACTGACATCAACGTTTCGACATCATATCTGTCGTCAGCACTCTTGCGTCGAATGCTTTGCACAGTGAAAACACCTGATGCATTCCCCACTATCTTTTCAGTGGTATTGTCTTTGACTCCCAAGAAAACTCCTTGGTGCCATCTTTGTTCAAACTTGTGACCTCTTTTGAGGAATTCAATTGTTTCCCCAAATGGTGGTAATGACACTCTCCACTCACGACCACGGTGTCTAGAGTACGGTGTCTTCCCATCTTTGACTTCCAATGATCTGTGAAACAACCTTTTAGGCGACCTGCGTAGCACACATACTCCTTCAAAGTACCTACGTGCTACCTATACTCATCTATACATGTGCTATGTATCTACTGTATCTACTTCCTATTTACTACCTGTGTACTCTGACAGCACTACCTGTGTTTAACATATACCGTACCTACCATACATGTCAATGATGCCATGCATACCATACCTATCATATCCATCATACATACCATACATACCATACACTTGAAATGTAATTACCACACCTACCATACATACAATAGCAAGCATACATGCCATACATACCATACCTACCCTACACAGGAAATATTCCATACCCATCATAGTAACCATACACACCATACAGACCATACATACTGTCATATCAAACATACCATACCCAACAGACTTACATACCATACCTACCATCCATACAATACCCACCACTCATGCCATGCATACCATACCTACCATACATACCAAACATACCATACTTTCCAAACATGCCATACCAAACCGACCATACACACCATACATACCCAACATACCATACCACACCCCCACCACACCACAGGGGGGGAGGAGGACAGTACCACACCCCCACCACGCCACAGGGGGGGAGGGGGACAGTGCTGGGTCCCCAGGTAGCAGCCCCAATTCCCTTCCATGTGCAAGCTATTGGCAGCATTTCTGAGGTCCAGCTTCGTATTTTCTAGGTCTTTGCAGCATTTCTGACTACCAGCCTCGCATTTACTAGGCACATGCTACCTTTTAGGCGACCTACGTACAACACATACTCCTTCAAAGTACCGACATGCTACCCATAGTCATATATACATGTGCTATGTATCTACTGCATCTACTTCCTATTTACTACCTGTGTACTCTGACAACACTACCTGTGTTTAACATATACCCTACCTACCATACAAGTCAATGATGCCATGCAAACTATACCTATCATATCTATCATACATACCATACATACCATACACTTGAAATGTAATTACCACACCTACCATACATACAATTGCAAACATACATGCCATACATACCGTACCTATCTTACATAGGAAATATTCCATACCCATCATAGTAGTCATACATACCATACAGACCATACATACTGTCATATCAAACATACCATACCCAACAGACTTACATACCATACCTACCATCCATACAATACCAACCACTCATGCCATGCATACCATACCTACCATACATACCAAACATACCATACTTTCCAAACATGCCATACCAAACCGACCAGACACACCATACATACCCAACATACCATACCACACCCCCACCACACCACAGGGGGGGGGAGGGGGACAGCGCCACACCGCCACCACACCACAGGGGGGAGGGGGGGGTGGCAGGGCCTGGTGCATATATACATACTGTATATATAAATAATGATACAGTGAACTACCGCTTGCCCGCTCGCTTGCCCTACAATCACCACAACTTTTGGCATTGCAAGTGGTGTCCTCTCCGGCAGAAGTCGGTGACTTTTGATCGTCCTCTATGTCCTCCTGGCAGCAGGCTCTTGCTACTCACACTGTTGCATAACAAATTCGATCACATGCAAAGAGTACCAACATTTGCAGAAATACAGAACTATAATAATGTGACGTTCAATCTTCAGACCCTGCAGCAGCAGCAGGTACAGTACTATCCTCCGGCCCTCATTCAAGTTTGCTTTCACGTTTAATGCAGGCAGTATCAGGCAGTGGCTGTACAAGATTGTTCACTACGCACGGGTTTCTATCCAGCGTTGACCTTGCCACGTCAGAAGGATTCTGTGCAAGTGTGAATTACAAACTGGCAATTCAAACGCACACACACACACGCACACACAGAAACATATACTGTGAGAATCATATGTGCCATGGTCAAATCATGGTACATGCGATATGATCATCCATCCGATAATGATAACTCGCTCTTAAAGGATTGATGACCATCGCACAATATGAGCCATTTCCCAAGCTTTGACCACGGCATCTCTCTCCCTCTCTCTGTATTATCTAGTCATTGATAATGTATAATAGTATATGTATTCTACACATTCTATGCACCTATAAATTGTTGTCTTTTTGCGCATCAATGCCGCTCTCAAATGCTTCAAGACCAGCAAATGTGTATCAAACGTTTGAAGGGGGCAAGAGAGAAGGAAACGCACCTACCCTATGCAACGAGGATGATCTGCGACAATGAATTCTTTGAGAACAAAATAGTGAGACTGGATGTCATATATATTAGCATAAGAATATATGCAGCTAGCATATGCTAGCACCTATGTATCTTCAAAAACATGCGTGTGGCTGTCCGGAGTTTCATGGCTCGGTGCCTTCAAATCTTTCGCATCTTCTGCCTCAGGGCAGTGACAGCGCGCAAACAGCTCTTTATCATGAGATCATTAGGAGGTAAAGTTGTACATGTTCTATTATGCCTTTCTCTCTCTCTCTCTCTCTCGCTCTCTCTCTCTCTCTCTCTCTCTCCCTCGCTCTCTCTCTCCCTCGCTCTCTCTCTCTCTCTCTCTCTCCCTCTCTCCCTCCCCCTCCATCGCCCTCTCCGGGGTTCAGCATCTATTCAGATTGTTCAGCCTATAGCAATTAGAATATATTAGAATCATACCAGTAGTACCGCACAAGGCGGTGGCGGAAGTTTCAAAAATAGGAAACCTATAGGAGAGGTTGGTTGTTGTGAATCAGGGATGGCAGAGCGAATCCACTGATGGACCGAAAGGTGCTTGAGGTCTCCTCTCTTTCGCTCTCTTTCTCTGACTATCTACCTACCTACCTATCTTCTATGTATCTATCTATCTATCTATCGATCTATCTATCTATCTATCTATCTCTCTCTCTCTCTTTCATCTGTCTATCTGTCTAGCTGTCTACCTGTCTATCTGTCTATCTATCTATCTATCTATCTGTCTGTCTACTTGTCTATCTGTGGTGCAGTGTCATTCAATGTAATGAGTGTATATAGTCTAATGTAGTGTAGTGGAGTGTAGTGGAATGTAGTGTAGTGTAGTGTAGTGTAATTTAGTGTAGTGGAGCGTAGTGGGATGTAGTGTAGTGGAGTGTAGTGTGGTGTAGTGTAGTGTAATTTAGTGTAGTGTAATTTAGTGTAGTGGAGCGTAGTGGAGTGTAGTTGTGTAGTTGTATTTGTAGTGTACTGGAGTGTAGTGTAATGTAATATTCTACCAGAATCTTACCCATACTCCAAGGCTGGCCATACTCCAAGCCAAAATGGCTGAAGCACCCTGAAAGGCGGTATATTGGTGGTATTCGTGCCTCCTATGGTGTGCGATGAAGCATCGGTATGCGTTACCCCTGTAAGTAACCTGAACTCACTATGTGGAGTACAATGTTTGCACGTTATGCGTTAACTTCGTGGAGTGCGTTCCCACACAGGTATGTGGATTGAGCATGCCTATTTCAAGTTTAAGGGTATTGTCCAGGCACTGCCATGATAGGCGATGAAGTTCAGGTGTGCATTCTCCCTGTAGGTAGCTTATAGCCACTGTATGTGGAGCGTTGTGGAGTACGAAGTTTGCATGGTACTAGTATGTGTTACCTTTTCTGAGTGCGTTAAACTTGCGGAGTGTGTTAAACTTGTGAAGTGCGTTCCCGCTCAGGTATGTGGAGTACGATATTTGGGTGGCATGCGTTAACTTTTCCAGTTTGGGCGACGAGGGGTTAGAAATATAGTGAAGGGTAGTGGAAGGTAGCGTTGTGTAGTGTAATGTGGTGTAGTGTAATGTAGTGTGGTGTAGTGGAGTGTAGTTGCGCAGTTGCAGTTGCAGTTGTAGTTGTAGTTGTAGTGGAGTGTAGTGTAGTGTAATGTAGTGAAGTGTAGTGGAAGGTAGTGTAGTGTAATGTAGTGTAGTGTAGTGGAGTGTAATGTAGTGTAGTGTAGTGTAATTTAGTGCAGTGGAGTGTAGTGGAGTGTAGTGGAGTGTAGTGGAGTGTAGTGAAGTGTAGTTGTGTAGTTGTAGTTGTAGTGTTGTGGAGTGTAGTGTAGTGTAATGTAGTGTAGTGGAGTGTCAGTGTAGTGTAGTGTAGTGTAATGTAGTGTAGTGTAGCTAAGCGAAGCGAAGCGACATCTGAACCTCCAAAAGTGGCCCGAACCCCTAGTGCTTTTAACATTTTGACTTCGAAATGTGCTTCGCACCACAACGGCGTGCACTTTTTCCACATCGGAACCTCCAAAAGTGGTCCGAACCCTAGTGTTTTTAATTTTTAACATTTTGACTTCGAAATGCGCTTCGCGCCGCAACGGCGTGCACTTTTTCGACATCTCAAGTGCCAAAAGTGGTCCGCACCTGGTGTGCTTTGTACATTTTGACTTGGAAATGTGCTTCGCGCCACAACGGCGTGCACTTTTTCGACATCTCAAGTGCCAAAAGTGGTTGTTTTGTGCGTTTTGACTTGGAAATGTGCTTCGCGCCACAACGGCGTGCACTTTTTCGACATCTCAACTTCCAGAAGTGGTCCGAACGTGGTGTGCTTTGTGCATTTTGACTTGCAAATGTGCTTCGCGCCACAACGGCGTGCAATTTTTCATCTCTCATCTGGCCAGCTGGCTCCGCACCCACCGCTTTAGCGAGCCTACTTTTCGACCCTCCGGAGCCCCAAATCATTAGAAAAACGCAGTGTTTCGCGACTTTCCTACCTTTTCTCGCATCTGCATCTTCTTTCTTCTTACTCTTTCTCTTCTCTCTGCCTCTTCCTTGCTCTGCTTTTCATCTGTCCATATTGTCGGAAGTTTGACTTCTAAACTTCCTTCGATAATGCAATTAGATTTCTGACTCGTAAAATTACAATCAAGTCTTGAGCGATGAATTTGACACCGCCTTTGTCTCTCCATTAGATCAACTACCGTATCTTGTAATTAATCTCTTAATGTCTGGATTGAAAAGTCTTTGTGGAAAAATTGGTGGCGGCAACATGCAAGATAATTTCCAACTGATTAGCAACTATATACTTAGAGCCTTGGCACTTAGAGCCTTGGCAAATGTGAAGTACCTGTGCTGTAAGAGACACGCTCGTCTTCTTTTTCTGCATGTGTTTTTTCCATTCCACAGTTTGAATGCACAACTTGGAGGACCGAAGGCGGTGACAAATAGTGACCTTCTGACAGCTGTAGAATTCTGTAACATGCTGTATAGCATCTGTATAGCATCTGTATAACCCTGTTCATCGCCTTGGCCTTCAGCTGTGCAAGGACGGACGCTCCGCCTTCTGCACCCTGAAAAAATGAGAATGTCGTAATGTCGTCCAAATGTCTGCACCTTGTGGAAACGCTGAAACGGTGTGAGTTCCGGCCTTAAGTTCCATTCTCTTCGTGGCTTTGCCCTGGCAACAATCACAGCAAAAATCAATGGACAAATGAAAGTAATGAAAGCATGCGTTGTGAAGAACAAAGGACCTTGGATGAAACCCATTGCCCATTGCTAGCTAGCAGAGTAGATACTGGTAGTTCAGCTATGTTCAGTTTTCTCTTTGAAATAAAACTGTGGAACCTGGAGCTACGTGCTGGTGATGGCACACTAGATAAATGATGCTACAATGATGTAGCATGGATGTAAGTGGACTATGCACAAATAATTGATGATATGATTGCAGCGGAAAGCAGCGAGGGGATAAAACACCACGGGCGCGACAGGCCTCCTCTTCGTCACCCTCCTGGGGATTTCCAGATGTTCTGTTACTGTAACTTGTCGTGCTGACTTCGCATACATCCAAATGGTGTCAAGAGATGTCAAGAGAACATCCCTATCGATCCTCTGTAATCCAAACAAGAACCACGCAGCAATCACTACAGCAACGAAAGTCAAATCAGGACGGAGAAGACTACCTATCGCAATATTTCTAGTACTGAGAAAAGACTAACATTCTGAGCTGCACACCAAGCCAGCTTGCGCTTGCATGGCCTACGTTCAGCAACACAAACAATACACATGGCCTGAGGGTAATTTTCACATCGTCTAGTCCAATAGATTTTGCCATCTGGATCTGGCATGCTGATAGTGTTCGACATGTTTGCATTGAAGCGACATGAAGCCACTGTGTGGTGTGCACAACTTGAGCAAAACAACACCCGGCCCGAAAGCGTTCAAGGCGACGTCGTTGCTTCTCACCTTGGTAACGGTCAGCTGGATCAAACCAACCAATACCCACACGGTCCATACGGACCACACCGACCAAACTTTCTGCAAAATTGACAAAATGATATTATCTTTGACTTAGTGGTTTCAAAATTGATCGAAATCTAACCAGCCTGGAGATGTCCATAGAATGCTATATTGTTACCATATTGAATAGTAGTATATAATAAATCAATATGTTTTTCTAGTAGGATCAGGATCTAAATTGGTTCATTCATCGCAACCTCTGAAAAATCTGTCCTCAGCTCTGAACGCTGCTCTTCTGTCACTTCCTCAAAGGCGGTCTCCATTGTTGCTTCTGTGGGCCTGAGTGCGTCTGAGTACTAATTTAATTGCATCTATATACTTGGCATGATGGTGCGAATTGATTGCGCAATCTGAAACTATCGTCAATAGTCAATAGTCATCAGTGGTCCATCTCATTTGTCAGCATCTGTCACCATCTGCCACCAATGACATGTCAACATATATAGCATTCATACATATTCATACGTATTCATGCACAACATGACAGCCATGAAGCCTAATGCATTGCAACTAGATTGCTAGGCTCATCGCTCAGTGGCAGTTGCGTTTTGCAGCGCCAAGAGTGCCCCGGATTCTGCCACAATCTCCTCCGCAACTATCTCCTTACAGCTCGAGTAATCGCACAGCACCTATATTGGATTTGGAATTCCAACTGCCGCCCACTACTCTGCACATCTGCCTGCAGCAGGCCGTGAAACTATGCTGGTATGCAGCCAAAGAGCCAAATCTCCACTGCTTGAGCTTTCAATCTCAAGACCTGCAATTGAAGTCTTCCAAAGCAAAAGACAGTGGCATGAAGACTTGCACATCCTGGGGCCAACAACAATCAAAGGAGAAAGAGTACAAGGCAAGGGCAAACATTATCTTACATTTAGATACATTTAGTCACTTCATCATAGATGTACCGTCTTTTTCCAGCAATCACAATAATATCTTCGTGAATTCTCTTCCGAACACCAGTCCTCCTGCATTTGGGAAAAAATGGGACCACCATTCGTCAGCAAAACATGCAGGCGATACAGGCACCTTCCCTCCTTGGAGCAAGTCTCAGACTCAAACCCCACAAAAGAAAACGAAAAAGGACCCAGATGCCCGTCAAACAGAGATCTGACATGCTGACATATTTTTTTGTGCATTTTAGTGCACAATTGTGCCCCACCACGTGTGCTTGGGTTTTAGACTTAAAGAACTGAACGAGTCAACTTGAAACCTTCGTGCATGCAGGCACAAACGGAGACAAACGGTGTCTGGATACCGCAGAACTGTTGATAGTAAATTATCAACCTTGGTCAACCTTGGTCAACCTTGGTCAACCTTGGTCAACCTAGCTAGGTCCGCGGCTTTTTCTTCTTCCTTGACCGACTTTTCTTTCTACGCTTGGCCTTCCAATGAGGCAAAATATTCTCATGAAGTTCACCTGACCCTCGAAGGAATTGAAGGAACTCTACGACATATGGAACGCATGGAAGGTAGTGCAATGTGGTGCGGTTCCGCAGGACCATCCCAGTACCGGTGCCTCTTTTTTCTTTTTCTTTTTACGTCGGCTTCTTTCCGAAGAGTCAGATTCAGACTCGCTACTGCTTGACTCCTTCAAGAGAATGGCAGAGAATCGAAATTAATCATAGAATCATAGACTGCCAAGTCTACCTCAAATACCCTATACAGATCTATACAGTACACATAGCCTTTAAACATCTTCATTTTTGCACATGTATGTATTTTGGAGAGGCGCGTGGCATCAAAACGCGGCTTTGAAACTTGCAAAACCAGGGGGCAGATTTGGAAACATGGGAATGAACAAAGTTCATCGCATAAATAGGGAGATCTGACTAGATCTTTATCTTGAGCTCAAGACAAGCTCCACATGTGTGTAGCTTGGTCAAATTTCAACATACATGTGCCATGGCACAATCGAATTAATTAATGGACTGGGGATGACTGGGGGATTGCGGTTGCAGAGCTTTCCACAGTTCAAAGACCAGGTGAGTATATTAAATGTGTATAATATACATACATACATATATATATAATATATGTATCTGTGTGTGTGTGCACTTCAGCGACATCCTCCAGTTTTCGTCGGATAATTTTCAGGGCCTCCTTCTTCTTCTTTGCCTTTGCTCTCTTTGATTTCTGCAGCGGCGCAGCTGTTGACATGACGACAGAATTGCAATATGCATTGAGCTGGAAAGAAACACATGTCGAACTGAAGTCAATCATAGCCAATATTAGCCAATCTGTGAAGCTGAAACAACGGCTTGTTCACAATATGTGTAATCCAATCATGAGCAGCGCGTGCATTCAGTTTCGAAACTGAGGTATGAAATCACAACAAAACGTAAGCCTTCTCTCTCTCTTTGGTCTCTTTCTCTTTCCTGCGATCTCTCTCCTTTTCTTTCCTTCTGTCCTACGGGGATTGTCTCAAGGTAACTGGAACATACTGGAACAATCTTTGCATGCCTCAACCTTTGCCGAGTGCCCTGCCCATACTGCAATACCAGTGCATCAGTGACAGCAATATACAGCAATAATAAAGAATCTTGCTGCGATCACCAGCTCCCAATATACTTCGCAATCGTCATGTAGATGGGACAGTGGTGAAAGAGACTCCAAAAAGGTGAAAACAAGTATAACATAGTATAACCATTATAAGCACAATTAAGGGCTGAGTGATTCAACGTCTCGTCAGAATCACAGTAAAAAAATAAAAGTCGAACAACTCTGCAAGTTCCAGGCATACTTGCGAAAACTGAGAGTTTGTTCCATTCTAGAGCGCATGCGTCCTTTTCTCTTTCATCTTCTGACCCTTTTTCCTCGTCCTTATTTTGCTCCTATGCATGAAACAAGTGAATTGCTAATACCATGTATACCATATTCTAGTTCTAGAGCATATCTGTGAGCATGTGCGAGCAATCACAACTTTGGGCTTTTGGGGCTCTGAATTGCCCCTGCTGTGGCCATCTTTGGAAAGATCACACGTTCTGACAACCTGGGGCTCCTCATCTGACTCGTCTCGTTTGGCGGCCTCAGGCCGTACACAGCATCTTGCACATCAAATACTGGTTCCATTTGGTTCCATTTGGTTCCATTTTCCAGGCACACTGTGAATATCTATCGGCAGTGCTGTCATGCAGGTTCTTTCAGTGATAAGATTGGACATTGTGACACAGGTCGGGAAAAGACAGTTTCCCGTGAAAACATTCTATGATTTCTATGACATGGCTCTCACCCACATCATATCGGCAGAAAATAATTACTCCTTCAACTTCAGCCTTCAACATCCCGAGGCCACTGCTGCAGTTGACCATTGCCACCTGAGGGTTGACTGGTCTTAATCCAGGGGATGGACCGGGGAGGCTGAGCATGTCCGCATCCCGCATACCTATGTATATATAATATATATTATATAATTATAATCCTATGTGTATTATGTGTATATATATATAATTATATATATAGATCTGAGAGATTCCAATGGATCCCAATAGCCAATTCCAAAATCAGCTGTCATCTAAGCACCTATTGAATGCTTTAGCAAATATACATTCCCCGTTCCCTCCGCGTGACACAATCATGCACTCTCAGAACTCAGAACATTACTCGTCAAGAGACATAATACGAGCGCACATTGTTGCACATGTGAAACACGGTCCCTTACATTTTTTGTCTTTATGCATGCTCTTTCTCACTGGGCTGCCCAGCTCGCCCGTAGCTGCTTGGAAGCTCATGCCTCAAAACTTGCGAAGGAATCTGGATGCTCTTACTAGAGTCTTAGAGTCTTAGAGCTCAATACTGGAGGAAAACGACGTGAGTACGTTCTGACTGAAATACATTTTGGAGTGTCTACGCGCATCTGCATCCGTAAAGCTATAACTCACGGGAAACACTTCCAAGGCAAGAAAAAGGTATTTGAGCTTCCAAGGTGAGTGCAAACAACATTTCACGAACGCAAACAGGGATGAATTTGGTGGGGTTGAGCTGCCCGGCTGTCCAACAGTCTTTCTAAGAATCCTAATTTTAATCTTCTAATCAGCAAAGTAGAATAAAGTTTGAAAATGACGTAGAACACCAAGTTCGGAATGCCTCCTTTCTATCATTTGTTATCCTTTCCTTCACCTTCTCTAAGGCTTGGTCCTTGGCTCTCTCTTGGATCGCTGACCTTCCAAAAATGCACTGCTCAACGCGTTGCTCTGTCAGCATGCGATAGTATGCGACAGTTTGGAGAAAAAGAGTCGAAATAGTGGATCTTCAAGATTCAGACTCTGGAAAGCAAACCGATCTGCTCAAGGAAGGCCGTTGCTGTCAGCAATTCAGGATATTTGATATGGAGCGCTCCTATACGTCCCATGTCCCATGTCACCATTGCAGTGGCCTCTGGCTCTGGCACGGCCGCTGCCTCCCTGCGGCTGACGGGTTGCCATGGGAAACGGTATGAAACAATCCCAAAACCCCAATAGCAAAGCTATGCAAAGCTCATCATATCGTCTCAAACAAATGCAATCAGGGCATCAATGCCAACTCTCAGCGGTCAAATCTACTGGTGGACTTTATATACTTCCGAGCACTTCCAAGTAATCCACAAGCATCCAAAAACACCACATGTGGACGTGGAGAACATTGGAGAACAACGGAAGGACCTATTACACCCTATTATTACTATCTCCCTGTCCACAACTATGGGCCATGACATCGAGTCCTGCCTGCTTTGCTGAGCCTGACAAAAACAGGTTGGCCCATGTCACACATGTCAGTAATTCATACAAAATTCATCAAAATTCTCGTGATTTTATGATATTTTGAACATCTTTGGTCGTCCGCATCCTAGAGTCCTTGAGGGGTTGCCTATTCGTGGAATCCCGCACCGTGATGCACCGTGATGCACCGTGATGCACCGTGTACATCATGTCGATCACCACAGAAATTGCCCAATTAAAAATCAAGGACAGAGCCCACCCTGCGCCACCCTGGGCCACCCTGGGTACCTCCTCTGCATCACGCCTGGCAGCCAAAACTAGAAGCTGTGAAAGCAAATGAAAGCAGTATACAAAGAGCATTGCCAAGTGCACTTGATATTTCCCTCAAGTCAGCCTACATCTATAGATGCAATTAATGGTATGACTTATATAAAAGTGTGTAATTCAGTTCAAGTTCAAAACTTCTCAGAAGTATGTCATAAGTCATGAGTCACAACACCACATGACTGATGTTTATGCTGCTTATGCTGCTTAGCTACCTTAGCCACTCAGAAAACTACGTACACTCAAACAATGTTCTCAAACCACCTAGGCCCTTCAAAGCCTCCGCTTCCTCTTGGTGGACCTCAGCTGATGGGCCATGGAGAACCATTTTGGGTGGCATTGAGTTGTCTCCTTTAAGTCCTACGACGGTCCTACGATCTATACCTAAAAAATAAACAATAATAAAAAAAAAAACGGGGAAGTTCGGAACCTGGAAACGTCTTAAGGTCCTAGATTTTGGCCCGGCTACATCCAGCAACCAATTGTACCGTAAATCTGGACTGATCGAATAGCCATACAGGTGCATCTCAACCAACGTACAGTACATGCAGTGACATGCAATGAGTCGAACAAACTGGAAGAAGGCACAGCCAAAGATGCCAAAACATCAGAAAAGGATTTCAAAGTCAGCATATAGTCAGCATGATCAGTATGATCAGCATCATCAGTATGATCAGCATGATCCGTACAATATGAACAGCATGCAACTGTTGGTTCGGTTGGATTGAATGCTCAAACTCAGCTTCCAGACTCACTGCTGGAGGCTTGCCGCTTCGGACCTGGAAAGGAAAACAACATGTTCAAGCGCCGTTACAAGCAATGATCTTAAAAATTATCATCTGTGAATGTGCTGATATGATTTGACTTGCAAGGTTTAAAATTTAGATTATCAAATCATTTTTATTCATTTTAAATGAATGTGCTCCAATTTTCGAATGCCTGTTGAGGACTGAGGCCCCCTACGTCGCTCATCTCCGGAGAGGTCCTCCTCCTCAGCTGCAGATCTTGCATTGCGCGAGAGTTTCTTAATGAAGCACATTCAATTTTCCATCAATTGGTGGACAACAATGGCCTTTTGTGAAAAACAACAGTCTGGCATGCCAGTCATGATCATTTACCTAAATTGTTTGCGTTGGTTGCCCTCTACTATGAATCAGTCAACCAATGGGTAAAAACTGGTGCAAACTGCAAGATGGCAAAAACATAGATATGCCAACTAGGCCAAACCCAAACCCATACTTGTCCCCAACAGCTGCTATGAGACGCCATCACTAGCGCAAAGAAAGGAATGATTTCAGCCCAGCACCAGTGGCGGTAGCTGCATATGCTCATGGACATCCTGGAAAGCACAGTCGACGGGCCGACGGAGGAAGATTCTAAAATCCCATATATAATGATATGCAAAAATTCAGCACACACGTACTCTGAGACCGCCCAAGTGAAGGCCTTCTTGCTCTTGCAGGAGATGGGCCATGTCGGGCAACAGGAAATTAGTGAAAGGAAATCTGTCTGTACCCTGTGCTTAACGAAGTGCTAAATCATGCTAAATCAACAATTCCGTGCCTGAATCAAGGTGTCCGGCGGCCGGATCTCCTGGCATCCATTCCAAAATGCGCCCTCTCTCTCTCTCTCACTCGCTCGCTCTCTCCATTTCCATCTCCATCTCCATACCAGGAAGATTGGCATTCATGCTGAAGGTGAGGGAGCTAAGGCACGTCATATCACCAAGCCAAAACCCTTTGTCAGTTGATCCCGCCTGCAAGGTGAGGGTCTCTAGGTCTAGGTTTTATCAGAGCTGGCCCGCCTATCCCCCCCGCTCCGCCTCTGCTTCAACTGCGAGCTGCAGATCTCAGTGGGCACTGCCGGACCTCAACCGCGAGCTCCAGAACTCAGTGGGCACTGCCGGATCTCAACTGCGAGGCAAGATGTCATATATAGAATGTCAGAATAGATGCCAAATAGAATGTCAGAATATATGTCAGATAGAATGTCAGTCAGGTAGAATATATCAGAATATGTCAGAATATAATTTATGTCAGATAGAATGTCAGTATGCCAAATATAATGCCAGAAAGCATGTCAGAATAATATGTCAGGGTGGGGATCACTCGAAGTGAAGCATTTGCTTATGCAGAAATAACATGCGCCCGGAGCCGTTTCCATGCTGTTGCTGCACATCTTTAAGATCTGGTATGATTTGGTGCTCCTCATCCTCGCTTTCTTCACTAGCACCATCTTCATCTTTCATGCTTTCGTAAGTCAGGAACGCCTGACATCAAGTGACAATATCATCAAGGGAAAGGGATGCATCACAGAATCGCACATCATTAAGATAAAACGATAAGTATGATTAAATTAAATATGTATAAATATGTACATTATGATATATACCTAGAGACTCGAGCGGCATCAAAATTTTGATGCTGGTCTAGCAAAACAGTGTTTCATCTGATTGCCGCTGAAATTTTTGGCATGCGCCGTTCTTTGGGAAACAAATCGGTTTTAGATTTTGGTGTTGGAATGCGCCGTTTTTGCCAATGATTGCACCGTTTTTGCCCGTGATTGCGCCGTCCTTGCCCGTGCAGAATTTCCATTGCGCCGTTTTTGTGGAATTGCGCCATGTTTTCTACATTGCGCCATTCTTGTGGACTTGCGCCTGATTTTTTTGTAGGTTGGGAATGCGCCCGAAATTTTGGATACATGAGTCTCTAGGTATGTGCATAACAGATCAGAACAGTATTGTATAATCATACAGCATCATACAGCATACAGGTAGTATACATAGAAGTACAACACGTGCACGCCTCTGTCATAAATTCTGATTGCAAAGAACTCACATCCACAGTCGCCCTGTTTCAGCTTGGCCTGGCCCTGACTCACTTGCAGTTTTTTGAACCTGAGCTATCATACGTGGATGATCGTGGACAGCTACTGTACTGGGCTTTGAGATTCTTTGAGATAGGCAATGGATGACAATAGATGTATGTCAAGCACGTCCAACGACCCACAAAGGACAAGAAGTCAAAAAATGCGGCACAGCATGGCTGAACCTGTCTGCAACATGTGCATCCAGCTGTTGCCAGCCTTTCTGCCCCTGAAAGGCCCAAGGGATATGTTTAGATTTTTTAGGATATCGATGTTTTTGATCTTCATGATTCAGCATTGTTTGCCAAATCATGCCAAATCCAATCAAACCATGTCAAACCGAGCTCGATGGACTTGAAAATCTTTCTGATCAGAGGACATTGAAATTTATTGGAGGCGTCATGTGCCTGCAGTATTGTAGGTCAAAACAGGATTGGTCTCTCCATTCTACCAAATAGTTCCTCAAGAATAGTTGCTTCAGAATGGTTTCTGAACCAGTCATTTAATTATAGTTGCTGGACCGTAGATCCTGAAGACTAGTTTCAGAAGTAAGAATAATTTCCAGAGAACAATTTCTGAAGAAAAGTTCCGGATGAGTAGTTTGTCAAGAGCGGATCGTTTTCGAAGAACTTATCTCTTTCACTGAGCCACCCCACTTGCCGCCATTTGCAGTCAGCAAGTCCCGCATCGAGAATGACCAGCTCTTAGCAAAGCGAAGTGAATCAAGTTGGTCAAGAGTGATCACCAGAAAACCTGCTCTTGTTTCTCTCGCCTTTTGAAGGGTAAATGTCAGTACATGCATGTTTATATATTATAATAACCAAGAAGCTTTGTGCCAGAATGCACAAAGCATCTAAGAATCCAAATCTATGCAGGAACGTGGCCAGTTGCATTTGGTGATTTTTGGTGTCTTTGAGAAGTGTGATGATGGAAGCTGCTCGGCTTCATTCAATTGAATTGCATTTAGCTACACAACGCCATGCTACCCATTTCCTTGTGAAGTGTGTTGAACTTTGAATTTCTCGTTTGCCGTTGCAACTACAGTATTGGCACTGAAAAGACTGCCCTCCCTCTGGGTGCCGAAGCATCCGTTGCTGGTTGCTGAGCCAAAGTCTCTGGCACCTCGGCCATTACAATGCTCTCTACCCGAAAGCAGCACAACTATGCACAACTGGATACCTGATGATAACTGTACACATCGTTTCTTTGCTTGCTAGTACTTGCTAGTTCTTTGGCATCTCTAATGAAATGCCACGGAGTTGGACATTGTGGAATGATGCAATTGAAAAACAGCCAACACAATCCAGCTTCAAATTTGAGCGGCCTGGGGAATGCAAAAGAAGGACTTGGGTTCAACCTCAGAAAGCGATGTGGCAGCGAGTATGATTTCTGCTTCAGGAGAGCAACAGCTGACTAACAGCCACGTTGCATCTTAGCAAACCAAACGAGAAGCCATATCTGGAAGAGAAAACTCTGCGGATGCACGAAACATGTTTTTCATCTGATCTTATATATACAAACACAGTGCGCTGTGTCGTGACCATCTCACCAAACCAATTGAGTCATCAGGCTGAAATCTTCTGCCACTATCTCTTTTCCATCAATGTCGCGTCACGTGCAGATATCCTTCGAAACCCTGCACAAATCCAGAGTGCCACCTCTGCCTGTAAACAAGTCGCCTCGAAAACTCTTAGCCAGGTCTGGCTGGTCAAGCTCGTCAAATCTTGACAGATCTTGTCATCTTCACTGGGTCTTCACCGGGACCATGTGGGATCGATAGATTTGAAGCGTCTTCACATACCATCGCCTCTGCCCACGTTGTCAGACTTCAAGCACTGCAGTGTGTTCAAATGCTTCCCATTTCGGCAAGGGGACGGTCTGGCCACTGCAATCTCCGGACAAGGACCCCTGCATGTGTCTGAACCCAATCCGCGTATCCGCGTCTGGCACTCGCAGTTCCCAATATTTTCCTAGGACTCTTCTGAACAAAACAATTCCACATGCATCCAACACCAGAGACATCTTTTTCGGATGGTGGAACCTGGTTGGGTTGACCTCAGCTGGGATCTGTGCTGCAGCTGGGTCTCCTTTGTGCATGGTTACGCACATTATACCCTCCACCACTTATGGGTGGGTGGGTGAGGAAAACAAAACAATGGGTGGATGCTTGCCAGGGCACTTGAGCCAAAATGGCACCCATGGCAAGCAATCCACCCACCAACCCCTTAGCATGCTGAATTGTTCAGCAGGAAATTCCGGGGCTCCATTTCCTTTCCCAACAATTCCACATGCATCCAACACCAGAGACATCTTTTTCGGATGGTGGAACCTGGTTGGGTTGACCTGGGATCTGTGCTGCAGCTGGGTCTCCTTTGTGCATGGTTACGCACATTATACCCTCTTCTGCAACTGCGCGATCTCCATGCACTTTTTGCAGACTTGTCCTCCTTCCTCCGACGCCAGGAACATGTAGTCCGACTTGTGGTAGTGCCAGCCGCACATCGTCTTCCAGGCCAGAGGTGGAGTGCAGGCGGTCATGTTCCAGTTGTGGTGCACGATCCTGCTGTCGAGCAACCTGACGAAGGGGGGAAGTCTCCCGTTGTTTCGGTCGGCCCTTTTCTTCATGGACTCGATTTCAAAGTCCATGGCTTTCAAGGCGCGCTGCTGGTGCTCCTGTGCCAGGGACAATTCGGAGAGGAGGTAATCTCTGACTTCCTCCACGTCTCTGGGCTTATAATTGATGGGCCCCATTTCATTGTGTTCCTTCGTGCCGTAGAGGTTCGTGATGAAGGCTCTGTTGGCATTGACCGGCAGGCTTTCTAAAGCTTCGGCCGCGTACTCGTAGATCACGTCGGACTTCCAACGCCCAAGGTAGGCCACCTGTGGGATGGCCCACCCATGCCGGATGTACCGTAGGGCCCCTGTTCTCCTGGTGGGGTGTCCGGATGTGCCCTTTCCATAGAGCTTCTGCCACTCCTTGACAACTTGGGACTTCTTTGCCTTCTTGCCCTTGTTGGTCACGGCGGCGTGGTGTGTTTTCAAGTCCTCCATGCCGAAGACGAGCAGGGCTGACACTCGCAGTGGACACCCCGTGGAGCAATCCTTACTCTCACAGAGGCACTGCAGCATCCTGGTCATCACCAACCCTGTTTGGTCCGTCTTCGACACCGGTATGGTGAGGACCACACTACGGCTCCCCACGTCCACCTTCAGGTGATCCTTCGTCAGCAGGGCCAGCTCAATCTCGCGAAGCATCCAGATCACTCCAAACTCGAACAGCTCCCTGGCAAGCGGGACCGTCTTAGGTTTCTTCTTCGTCACTGTTGGGACAAAGGTTTTGCCCGTCTCTTGCACCGGGACTTCCTTGGCCTTCTTCTTGGGTCCCAGAGCTCTCGTTGTGGACCTTTTGCAAAGCTTCAAAGTCCTCTTGAGCTGATCGGACCATTGGTGGCCCCCTTCGATTGCCATGATCTTGAACTCTCCCAGGTATTGCGGTGCCGCGCGATAGTTGGCCTGTTTGAGCACACCCGCAAGCACCTTCAGCTTCTCCGCAGTGGGGGGTACCGGCGGCTCGCCCCTCGCCTCCTTGAGGATCTTTCCAATGGTAGCCCTCATCGCCTTCTTGGTGGCCACCGACGTCTTCGAGTTGAAGCCCTCTTCCAGCTCTGCGATGGCTGTCTTGCTCCTGCTCGCCCTTCTGGCCAGTTCCAACACGTTCACCGCCTTCCTCTTGCGGGAGACTTGCGAGGCCGGCTTGCCGTCTAGGTTGAGCTTCGGGACGGCTATCCTCTCTGTCTTGTCCTCCTTGGGTTCCTTCTTGGGGCTCCACATGTTGTATACCGACTTGCACGTCTCGGACGCCATCTTGAAGACCCTGCTCAGGGCTGGGGCAGCGCCGAAGATGCCTCCCTCTGCTGTGTTTTCCCTCTGGGTGTCACCCCTCTCGACGTTTGCAGGTACCATCATGCCGGGCACGAACTCCATGGGTGGCTCTCTGTCTACCAAGGTGGTTCGATGCAGCCGTCCAAAACTGCTCAGTCCTGCGCTTGGGCTCAGATGGCTGCCCATATCATTGTGAAGGGGTTGTGGCCTCGTCCTGCCGAACACTTCCCCCATTGAGACGCTTGGTCCCTCATATTGTCCTTCGTCACCATGAGCACCACGACCTCGACTTCTCCCAAAGACATCGCTCATGGTTACCCTTGACTGGTTCGCCTCGAAGGGTTCCTGCGGTTCACCAGGGTTGTCAAACCCCTGGCTGGCGCTGCTTGGTCCGCTCCTCCTTGGCTCGATTGACGTTGTCGCGGACACTCGGAGTAGTCTCGTAATAGACACCCCGGATGCATTGCTTCCCATGCCCATACCCTCCCCGCGTTGACCCTCGTGCAGGGGTCGAAAGGGCAGGTTTGCCTGCGTCTGCAGCATCTCAGACAGGCCCAAGCCAAGGCCGTCGCGTGGCAGACGAGCCCTGTCAGGGCCAGCCATTGGATGAGCAAACCCAGCGGGGTATCAGGGGGCATATTGAGCCAGTTCTGTGGGGAGAACATCAAATGACAAGATGACCTGTGGATTAAGAACCTCCTTACCTTTTGCCTTGCAGTCAAAAACGATAACACAAGGGGCTGCAGCTATTTTTCAACCAAGCCAAGACATCCAGGGTCCCGTCGGGTCTGTATCTTCCGACTTGCCCCAAAGGTCCGGTCGGCGGCCTGGCGTCGGTAAGGGATAGAAGTCATCGTCCCTGACAACACTCGCCGAGATGGTTCCTTCGCCAACCTCGGAATGGTGGACTTCCCCCACATCGACGGCCGGCTCAAATAGTCTGCAACCTTGTTTGCCACGCCGGGGATGTGCTGGAGCTTGGCATCCTCCACTCTGTACCGCTCCAACAGCACACCCAACACGGCGCCGCAGAAATTCTGGGCGGCTGAGGCTCCTGACTTCTTCTGGGTGGTGGCCAAAGCTGTCACCGAATCCGATTAGATGGTGATCTGTACGTTCATGCCTGCCAGCTTGGCCCCCCAGTGGTGCAAGGCCATGATAATGGCCAAAGCCTCGACCACCCCTTGAGAGGAGGAAGAGCCCAGTTCGAAGCCCAGTGCCTTCGCGTCGAACTCCGTGACCGGGGACGCCACTGTGTCAATGACTTGGTCATTGATAACCAGCACCGCGCCCAGTCCTTCCGGGGAGGCGTCAGTGATAATGTTCACCTTGGCTTTGTCCCGGGCGGTGAGAGCAATCTTCCTCGACGGCCTTTCCTTCGCCACGTTGAGGTACTGGGTCAAGGCCAAACGGGCACCTTCCAGACGTTTGACCACGAAGAGGCCGTCCTTGTTCCTCTGGTCCGTTCGATTGTCCCTCCTTACCGCCTCCTTGCCTGATTTCACTTCAGCCTCCCTGTCCGCCATCACGGCGTAGAAGACCCTCAGGATCCACTTCGTCCTTGGTAGGACCCCGGAAAGCCAGGAGAGCTTCCCCGTGACCGTCCGCAGCTCGGCCATAGGCGCCATGCCTCTTCCTTCCCATTCCTTGATCCTCCCCTGCAGGTCGGCGATGAACTTCTCCGGCAGGGTGACCAACACCTCCCTGTCCGAGAGGAGTTTGAACTCTACTCCTGCCCACGTCACTGCAGAGCCTCTTTCACCTTTGCCCACCGAGAGCTTGAAGCCAATTGCTGCCATCGTGTACAGGACGAAGCTCAGGATGACGTTCCTGCGAGCAAGGGTGCCTTGCAGTGCCCACAATGAGTCATCGAGGTAGGTCTGGTGCTGTGCCTCATCATGTGGGAGGCAGGCTTGCAACACCCTGGACGTCCACGCTGCCATCCTCGACCACAGCAGTGGGGCAGTGCGGAAGCCGAACAACAAGGCCCTGAACAGCAGGTAGCCGTCGCCCTCAACGTCAGGGGTCAGGGTGTGCTCCAATTCCTTCTCGTGCCCCGGCAGGTGAGGGAAGGCATCTGCGATGTCTATGAGCGTGAGCTCCCTGGTCCATCTGGCCTTCTGCTCCTCCACGGTGACCTGCTGATGGAGTTTGTGTAGACTCCGCACCATGGCCACCGCGTCCATGGCCCTCGGCAACACGATCTTCTCACGAAGTCGCGCTTTGCTGTTGCCTCCGGAGCGCCTGAGGTCTATTATCAGCCTCCTCTTGCAAGAGCCGTCTGGCCTCGTTTTGACAATGATGGCCAGTTTGGAGATGGTGCCCTGTGAGAAGTGCTGGTCCACCTGTTCCTTCGAGACCTTCATCACGTACCCAAGGTCCAGGAGCCTCTGTATCTCCTCCTTGGCGTCCTCCATGTTGTCCGCGATGCTGGTGTAGTTGGTGAGCGACCCCCGTGCTATCTGCAGGCTGGCGTCCATCATCACCTCTGGCTCGCCTTCCTTGTCCGATGGGGGAAAGACGCCCTTCGGCTCGATGTCGAGGTTGACGCCTAGTGGGGTGCCCTTCTCCACCCAGTCTGCGAGGTCCGTGTCGGGGTCCCCAGACTTGCGGGTCCACGCCCTGATGAGGTCCGCATCAAGCGGGGACTTGTACCTCCATCTTGACTGAAGGTCCACCGCGGGCTTGCCTTGGCTGCCCACCAGCTTGCGTAGTTCGGCCTTCCACTTCTCCACTGTTGGTTTGTCCATCTTGCAGTCGGCGGTGCCATAGGTTGAAGATGTCTCCACCGCGCGTGGGTTCCGGCTGACAAACCTCTCCCATGCTGCGAAGATTCTGAGCCCCAAGTTGAGGGAGCTTGGCATTCCTTCCACCGTTTCGGTGGGGTTCCTCATGCCGCCCAAGTAGTTGAGGTTGGCTGGGTTGTTTTCCTTCGCCTTCGACTCCTTCAGCATGCCGTAGTTGCCGCTCCCTCCCATCCATGCTTTTGCTTCCTTGGGGTCGTCCTTCTCCGTCTTCATCGGAACCTTCGTGTCCTCGTCATCTTCCGTCTCGTACTCATAGGTGTACTCATCTTCTTCCTTGGGTCTTGCCTTTGATTTGGAGGTGGCTGTGCTTTCGGCTTTTGCCTGCTCCGCCTCCTCCTCTTTGGTCTTTGCCCTTGGTTCCTCGGCGTTCCCTGCTGGCGATGGGGACCTCTCCCTCTTGGCGCTCTTGCGGCGTAGTTCATCCACCTCCTTCAAGTCTGCTTCCCTCTTGGCGTAGAACTCGGCGGTGGCTAGTCTCCTGAAGTGATGGATGACCAGTTCAGCGTAGGCCTCACACAGCTCGTCTGAGTAATGGCCCGATTCCACCGATCTGGCCTTGCCTACCACAGGAATGTGATCAGCTTTCCCACAGGGGCAGGTTCCGGCTAAAGACCTTATGCCCAGCAAACTCCCCGCGAACATCTGGGGCTTGAAGGTCCTCTTGCCCAGCTCCACCCTCCGTTGGAAATGGCAGGAGGTGAAGGCGACCTTCGTCCAGTCCAGCTTTTCCACCGCGCCGTGCACTTCCGGAAGTTCCCATGCCGAGCAATGTTGGTCGTGGTCGGATGGCGGGGGGTTTTCCACCGTCACTGCGGGCTTGATCACGTCGTCAGGCCTGGAGTTTGCAATGACTTCAGCCATCATTAATGACCTGGAGGCATGTAGGGTCCCCTGATCACATTCCCTCTGAAGAGCAACTGAGTTCCCTGGTATCCCATAAGGGTGTGATCTGGAGCGGCATGGACCTGGATAGCCCTCTCAGTCTCCCGCCACCGCAATCTCGAGAAGGAGGTACATGGGAACCCTGCGTGGTACCCGTCCCACTTGCCCTCACGGGCTTGTTGGAGGAGCTTCGCATAGGGTTGATCTGCCAGTAGATCGGCTCCTCCATTTTCACGGTCATAGCTTTCCACCGTGACCTTCATCTTGCACCTCTTTGCGAGCCTCTCCAACGTAGTGCCCAAGGGGTCATGGGGACCTGAGTAAAGATGCAGGAAGAAGAACCTGCGTTTCATCAGGTAAATGTCCAACGTCATGAGCTTTCCGTTGAACTCGGCTTTGTCTTCGTTGTGCTGCCTTCGACGCCTCCTGGATCTTGATCTCTCTTCGCCGGCTTTGTCTTTGTCCCCGCTGCGGCTGTCCCGCCTTTCTCTTCCCCGGCGGTCAGCGTTCGAGCCTGCCCACATCCAAAGTGGTGGGTACCATGATGTCTTGTTGGCATCATCTCCCATGTCCGACCTTCGTCTTGTTGTGGGGGTCCTGCAAAACCAATCCATCTGCAGCTGGGCGATCAACCGTCCTTCTGAGGGCATTGACATGAAGGGTGTCCCACCGAGCCGCACTTGGTGCATACGTGCGCCCTTGCCACCCTTCCTTGGCAGGCGGCACCTGGTGGTAAGCCAGCACAGGCCCCATTGTTGTTGTTCCAGGCGTAGCATGCCTGTGGCTTCTCTTTCCCCTTGCCTTTGCCCTTCCCGTCGCCTTTGATCTTCTTGGCGTCTGTCGGACCTTCGGCATCCGTTTGTTTCCGTTTGGACGCCTCTCTTCTCCTGGCGTTCCTTGTCCTTCGTGTCGAAGATGGTGTCCCCGCCGTGGATTCCGTGTCCGGCTTGATCGCATTGATGCCTCCTTGAATTGAGGCTGCAGCGACCGCTTCCGCCGGCGTCAGCGGCTTTCCTTTGGATCCGTGCGCCAGCCATGCATTCGCTGGCACATGAACCTGCTCCGCCCAGAACGAGCTGTCCTTCACGAGCATCCTGAATAGGCACTCCCAAGGGTTTTCTGCTGCCCATCCCATTGGTTCCTTCGTGCCGTTGGCGATGTCCAGGTTCACTGAAACCCTCAGTCTTACCAGGTGCTCTGATCTCCCAAGGTCGTCCGCCGCCACGATGAGGTGCCAGGCCCCTGGGTAAAGTCGGTCCAGCTTCTCCACATGGGCCTCGTACGCCACGCACGTAGCCATCGTCAGGATGTCGAGCATGAGCATTGCCGTCCTGTAGACCCTGAAGCTGGCTCTCCACTGGTCGAATGACCCTGGGCCAGGGATCTCCTTCGTGATGTAGCCCCCCATCACCGGTATGTATAGGACCGGTACTTCTGAGTCCTGTGAGCCTTCTTGCCGTAGGGCAGCCACACCGAGAAGTCTGCGTAGGGGGCTCCACCTGAATTCACCCTCCTCAGCAAGGCAGAAATCTGCTCGGTGGAGGGTTCTTCCTGTTCCAGCGGGAGTCCACCAGTCTGGCGTACAAAGTTCTCCAGCCAGCGCTGCTTTTGCTCCTCCGAGGAGATGACGAACTCCGACTCGTCCCCCTGGTCCAGCACTGCTGAAAATTTCATCTTCCTCTCCACCAAAGCCTTCGACGTGTCCGTGGGCTCCATGATCGGTGGTGTCGCCGTTGGGGCGTCTGCCCATGGGTCCGGGTCCACCCACAACCTGATGTCCAATCCTGCCTCCACGTGCAACTTCCGCCTCGCAAGACGGTACACCAATCCCACCTGTGCGGCCTGGACTACAGTGAGGTGTTCCCCTGAAACCATCGTTGCCGCCTCGGTCGTGGCCGCGAGGGCGGCTGAAGGCAAAGCTGCCAACAACCGGTAGTCGTCCCCCGGATCGCCGGCAGCTCTGATGAAGGCATCCCAAACCGGGTCCTCCACCCCATAGAATGCCCTGCAAGCACGCAGCGACGAAAATGGCGCTAGCTCCACAGGCCAGGCCATGCGCGAGGCCACCCATGAATGCCAAAACAAAACAATGGGTGGATGCTTGCCAGGGCACTTGAGCCAAAATGGCACCCATGGCAAGCAATCCACCCACCAACCCCTTAGCATGCTGAATTGTTCAGCAGGAAATTCCGGGGCTCCATTTCCTTTCCCATAAAGTCAATAGATAAACAATTTTGAAGATTCAAATGCAGCATGCTGGATGGCAATCGTCGGTGCACCAGGTGTCTGCTGCGCGAACCTGGCCAGTGGGATGAAGAATGTGAGCAAAAAAAGATCTTGCACAGCTATGGCAGTGTCGCGCTACAATATGTTGGTTTCACCTTTTACGCTTCAAAGCAATGGCCGGTGATGTGACAATGCTCCCGCCTATGGTGAGAAAACTGGGATTGGCTGCTTTGCTATGAGGGTCACAAACAAATTGTGGAAGGCTTGACGTGCCTTCATGTTGGCTTGTTCCAAGCAAAAACTGCTTTTGGCGACATTGCTTTCCATAGTCTTTTGCCACCACACGTCGCCTCAAATGTATCATGACATGGTGATGGTCTTGTCACGTGGATATACTTACCACTTAATTACTTACCTGCGGTTGCATTCTACAATTTCATCGGTCAGGAAGAGCAGGTCACAGGTTGGTACAGTCACAGGATGTCACAGGGCCAGCATGCCGTGTCACCCACATTCTCCTCGTTTGGGGTTTTCCGCATGCTTCTGGGCCCCCGTCGCCGAGCCTCCATGCCGAGGCAAAATCAGCAAAGGTGATTTTAACGTTTAACGGACCCCAATCCCAAGCGCTATGGGTATTTTTGCAGTCATGCTTCATAGTGTTGGCACTTGGAAAAGTAGTCCAAGTGCCTCAACAATCTTCAGCTTCAAGCATATCATTTTGCATGCAGTTGTGGACTGCTATCATGAGGGCAACTATGGGTTGCTACAGTGCAATTATAGTATCGAACCAAAGGTGACAACGTCGTCAGATTCTATCACGTGCTGGCCTCTAGTAGCGCGTCCCCACCAGTCTTGCGGAGGTTCACCCTGACATGCTGATCCTCAGCTACTGTATCTTACTAGATCCTACCACCACTCTACTACCACTATGTCATGTAGTCTAGTAAGTATGATGTCATGTAGTAATGTAGTAGCAGCATGTCCATGCTTTCAGAATTTTCCTGATCCGAAGAATTGACCCTGGACATCATTTTGGCAAGGCATGGTAAGGCCGTGGCCAATCCGTTCTGCTCCAGAAAGTCAATGACAGCCAACTGGGCATGTGGCCATGATCCCCAATCATCAATGATGACAAAGCCTCCTCGCGTAGCAGCCCAGCGCACCGAGCAGAACTGAGCAACATCAACTTGTTGAAAAAACTGATTGAAATGGGAGACATTGCAGCCATATGCAGCCATCGTCCCAAGCAATGCTGCGATCTCAAGAGATGAAACCATTGAAACCATTGAAACCGACCCCAAGAGCCCAAGGGCCCAAGGACAATCTTCACATCCGATCCCACAGTGTGAGCCAAATCCCAGGACCCATCAGCCAACCTGTTGGATCGATTTGTTCAACCGTTGAACCTTGTTGAATCTGACCTCCAAAAAAAGAAAGGTCCTGAAGTTGCATATTCTTTATTGCACAACTGCAACTTCAAACCAGTTTAGGATTCGATTTCAATTTCAAGTCTCGGAGCTAATTCCCATTCAGTTTCTATAATTTCAACTCACTTGCAAGTTATATAGTTTGAATTCACTTTCAAGTCGAACTGAGTTCTACTCAAGTAAGTCAGTTTGAACGAGAATTGATTCAAATTCAAGCTCAAATCAATTTCAAGTTCAATTCGAACTCAGTTCGAAATCAAAGCAAATCAAACCAACTCGAAGTCAACATAGAATCATTTCAAATTTACAACCATCCCTCCATTCCCAGACCGCCCCTTTCTCTCCGGCAATGATAAAATGCTGGAAAAAAAACAAGGTCCCCAGAAGTATGTTTTGTTTCAACTTAATTTGGATGCGGAGTCTGCCTGAAAGGGTGGTCAATGATTGGATGTAGACATTATTTGGAGATGCTACCATGTTGTTACACAGCCTCGCACACTGGAGTCGCAAATAGAATAGAGCTCAATTGCTGTAGTTTCAACAGTCCCCACAGCAACTCAACGACGGCTGTCCTATAGACACCAAATCCTGAGCTGCCACATCTGGCACACGAAGTCTGTAACACATACAAATCATCTTCATATTTTCTATTGGTTGGTTTTCATTCCATTGCTACAAGTACACACTCTGCCTCGGTATGCTAGCCAAGTGTCGTACAAATAGCATAACACCTTGGTACACAAGCCCAGACCAAAGGGGAAAAAACAAACAAACAAAAATCGAATAGAAAATAATAGAACATTAACATTACCAGAAAAACATCAAAATGATATCAAAAAGATACGTATTCGTATAACTCAATTTCATACCCTTCCATGTTTCCCCATGATGCATGTGGAGTCATCCCTCCACACCAGCTGTGTGCCAGTGCTGCTGGGGCACTTGTACGATACTGGAGTACATGTCACAATCAACTCGCAAAAGCGCAAAGCGAATGAAATTGGGCACCAGCGGAAGGGAATCCTGAACCAAAAGTGTGTGCTCTGAATCAAAGTCAGGCCGAGTTGCTCCAAAACTGACTGATCAAGGCCATAAACTCATAAATTTTCATCAAGGAACAAATGCTAATTTGCTGGACTATCAAGAAGCAAATATGTGGACATTGTTGCATCAACAGTCATCATAGTCATCAACATTAAGGGAGTTGAGGCAATTGACTCTTGCTGCCGGCTTGCGCGGCTTTCACTGCAAAACAGTTGTCTTATTGCACATTCAGAACCTATCTGGAATGCCTCAGTAGCCATCTCTAACCTCTGGCTAGAAATGCAGAATGCTCAGAGACTACTCGCCAACCTGATAGGGGTGGGATGCACAAAAAAATGCTACACAAATATTTCCGCGGGGCAAGTGTCAGTCAAAATTCAGCATGCTCACTCCCACGCCTCATAGAAGCCTCTGAGAAAGATGACACGAGAGTCCAGCATATTTAAACCCCGGAAAAGAGCGATGACCGGCAGCCATCCATCCGCACTGTTGTTGACTCTATTGAACACCTCCCCACAAGGAAACAAGCAAGAACTTGCTCAGGCAAACAAAGACATGGTGTTGCTGCGCTGCACAGCGTCGCACATCCGAATTTTCAGTAATCCTTTCCCCCTATTACTAAACGTCCCACAAATACTAAAAACTAGGGTCATCCTCCTTCGAATTAGGGTGGAGGTGTCGCACCAGGCTTTTTGTAGTATAAATCCCTGGGTCTTTGAAAAACCCTACAAAAAGGGTCGGTTTTTACGAGTTTTGGCCCTTACAAAAAGCATAGGGTTTTAGCACCCTCATTCGACTTCAAACACCCACCTCATTTTATAAGGTGACGACTTTCTTCCAAATATGGAAGTCGTACATTTGCCGATGACCTTTTTATAAGAAGTTGTGATTTTAGATGGCGTTTTCAGGCATCATTTTGTAAGGACACAACTTCTGGTTCCCTGTTTCTAGTTTTCCCGGACTCGTTGATTTTCAAGCAGCCTTTTTGTAAGGATTCCATTTTTTGCCACTTTTTGGTTTGCTTTATATTTTTTGTACTTTTGCTTCTTTGGCCTCATTGCCTACCAGAAATCCTTTTATGATGTCTCGCGTTTGTATTATCACATGAGTACCAAAAATAAAAATAAAAATTGAACACGAAAGAACATGTACAAAAAAAACACATAAGATAACCATGAACGTCGTCATACTTACAACTTGCAAAAGATCTTTTGCCATCCTCGGCCAACACAACACCAAGAAGAAAGTTGGTGCCTCCACCAAATCCAAAAATTGCTGCCATGGCTGCCCTAAAACTTGAACTGTGCCTTACAAAATGACAAGGTGCTGGTAGCCCCAGGAAGCTTCCTAAAATAAACACTCCTCCCCTGTAGGGTAGCAACACCTTGGCATTTTGTAGTGAACCTAACCTATATAGTACCTATATGGAGTCTAAATGAGGTTTGTGTAGCTCTGGTTACCTGGATGGATCTTCAGGGATAGCTACTGATTTGCATATGCACCTGTATGCATATGTATTGAGGATGATCAACCCACCCTTTTTGTAAGACACACCTGGCCCCCTGCCATTTTGTAAGAGGCTACCCATTAACACTTCTAGTTTCAAAGATAAGGATGATCAGGAATGTTATAACGTGAAAAAATGAGTCAAAATATCATATAGACATATATAGACTCATATAGATTCATATAGATTTCATATAGATTTATATAGAATCATCAACGCCGGGTGATGGCAAATCCGGTGCACTCCCAACACCAGAAAGCCAACTCACCAAAAGAACCGCAAGAAGCCACGCCATTGGGATGTGTCAGGGCTGTGGGCTGGGGCCTTTTCGGAAATAGCCAAAACAGCTATCAAATGATTGAGGCGAATCAAAAACATGTACAAATCTGAACAATACTTTGTATCAATGCCTAAAAAGCATATATTCTTACAAAAAGGCTCTTCTAGTCTTGACGACATCTCCTTACAAAATGTCATTGCACACCCTGCTGAATTCTTTTTTGTTTTTTTTGATGTTCAAAAACAGCATCTTGAGCTTACAAAAAGCCTCAAAGAGACAAACTCGATGGTCTTATAAAATGACTTGGCACCTCAAAACTCTTACAAAATGAACACTTGAAAATCCACAACTTTGCCTTTTGGGTGCCCTGTTACAAAAAGGCCTGGTTAGGGGTCTTTTTGTAACTACAAAATGACCCTATATAAACCATTTGTAAGAGGGTCGACACCTTCCATTCTGTAAGGGAAATTCGATCGGGGATCTAGGGTCCATCTCTAATTTCGGAAAATTTCAGATTGGCCAATTTGACTTTTAATTGCTCCCCTTTAGAAAACAATTTAAAAATAAAGCTAGCATTTGTGTGTTTCGCCCCCTAAAAATAAAAACAAGTCAACCCCGGGGTGTTCATTATTAGATATTATTAGGGTCCGTCCGATTTTTTTTAGTTTTTTATATTAGGGCTTTTAATTTGGCCCGCTTCGAAATCCAATTTTTGGCAATATTTTAATTGCATACCTAGATCCACTTGGAGGATGAAAAAAGTGCCGCAATCCATTGTGGCGTTTATTTTTGCCGCAATGCAAGAAAAAAGCCGCAGCAAAGAGAAAACGCGACAGCAACAAAAAAATGCCGCAAATCAGAACCATGGTTGTTGGTAACTTCTTGGTTAAGTGCCCAGCAACTACACATTCTGCTACGTTCAGCCCCTCCTAATCTCTTGGCTATTGCGTTATAAAAGGAAATTTAATTGATTTTGAAATCAGAAAAAATAGTTTTTATTATTAAGGTTTTAAATTTATTAATAGGGTTCCCTAATAATAAATACACCCCTAATACAAAAAACTACCTGAGGTGTTTATTCATATGGGGGGGCGTTTAGTATTAGGGGGAAGGAATTATATACAAGAGTGAGTCTCAAAATCCATAAGCAGCATGTCAAGGGCAATCAACACTTCTGCAACACGAGCAGGATCAAACAAGAAGTGGATTGGCAGTGGTGGGCATTGGCCATAATGCCCGCCTCGTCAACCCCTGTGTTTTCATAGCCGAATCCATGGAAGCTGTCCAACAGCCAAACTCGCCGAGACCTTTTGGAGAATCTGTAGCTGAGGTGATCTGCTGCAAATTTCCTTAGCAAGTCCAGGCTGCATTGCTTTGATATGCGCTAGATGTCACCATAGGTCTGACACGTTCTGACACCATACTACGCAATAGACAAAGCAACCTTGCATTGTTGCCTCTCAATTTCTCCAGCGTCTGAGTCTAAATGCAGGGTCAGCAAAGGTTACATATTGGGATCCAGCAATCGCCAGTTTCATGATGTTTCATGATGTTTAATGCAGTGCCGAACTATTTGCTAAACAGCATGTTGGATCCCACGCTGCCATCACTTTGATATGATACGCAATGATACGCAAGCAGGAATCATAAATAGGGCATGACCTCCTCTCCAGACTCCTGGCGGCAGCTAAGTTGGGCATTGTCTGAGTGATGGTACTTTTGGAATCCCTTTGAGTGGTGGCAGTGGTGACCCGACTTTCAAGTTGCAAATATCTGCAGCGTTCAGAAGAACGTTGGGATATGTTGGGATAACTATACAAGGGGACCTCCAAAGAAAGTCTTATATCAAGCTATAGCCTATAGCTATATATCATATATCTATATATTCTATATATATATATTATATAAGCTGAATCCTGAAAACATGATCGATGCCGAATTGTCGGAGCTTGGATAGCGAGAAATATTAGGCCAGCTCTTCGCTCCTGCTTCGGCCACATCCCCAGCAATGTTCGCTTTGGAAAGCCAAAGCAACAGAAGTGCCGTAGTCTTCATCTTTTCCTGCAACGTCCCAAGATCTCAATGGCAAAGAGACTAGTTGATGACACTCATACTTTATAATTTCAAGGGTCCTGGAATCACTGGCATGATCTGTCATGGCAGCATAATGTCACCCAAATAGGTAAACCCTCTAGTTTTTTGGATTTGTTTCAATCGGAAAACCCGCTAGTTTTCGGACAATTCAAAACTTACTTCATTTCTTTCTCAGCTGCAAAGCACATGTGACACACATGTCACAGGTAAATTGAACGATTTGAATCGGGTTCAGTTGAATATGTTGAATTAATGATCAACAGGTGGTGCTAAGCAAATTGAGCAAACGCAGAACACCAACATGTCACAATAAGATCAATAAGTCAAACCACAGTCAAGTCAGTGAGAGATAGTGAGAGTCTACGACTATGGTTTCGATTGGTTTCGTATCACTCTGAGTTGCCGTTTTGTTTCTCCTCCGAGGTCATGGTGATCTTCGGCCAATGCTCCGTAAGCTGCCGCCGTGTGTTGGCCAGCCATGGGTCGTCCGGAAGCAGTTGCAACTCCTCCCAGCTCACATAATCACCTTGCCAACGATATGATGAACATGGATGAGACATGGATGAGACAATGCAAAAAACAATTATAGCTAATAAAGCAGCTCATACAAGTGCAAAATAATCCAGATTGACAGATTTGAAAGATTACACAAAATTCCACTGAAGGCCGTGGCTACACAACAGCAGAATGAGAGCGATGTCGTCTGCACACTGTAACTATCTCTTTCAGACAAACGCACTACGAGTCAGTATATAATTGCTAAGGGTGAACACATCAGGCCACGCTTCTCTGACTTACTCTGATCATTTGTTCGTGTTGGCTTGTGATTTGACACTTTTGTGAAGGAGTCGAGAAATGGCAAAATGGGAAACACACAAAAGCAAATACTATCAACTGCTCACGAACAAATATTTTTCAGAACCTTTCCATACAGGCATGTTGCCAGCAAAGCACAGCACGAGTGTCCAATGCGTCCATAGCAGCCACCGGGGCATCGGGTTCGCTGTTGCCGGGCTAAATTCTGAACATATCCACATTATCCACACATACATTATTGATCATTATTGCATGTTATCATATGTTATCTTCCCCCTGATCTGAGATTACCTGGCCTTACTTTAACCTGTTTGAAATTTAACCTTTTCAGCACTGGCGATGAGGCCCTAAGGAATTGTTGAAAAATGTGAAAAATGAAAACTATGAAACATAATACATATGCGAACGTCCCATGGCAAAAATGCACACCTGTGTTCACCGACCAGGATTGCCATTTTAAGAACTCTGGCTACTTCGGCCAAAGGAGCTTCCAGTGCCACTCCTTGGTTGAAAATTGCTCGCGTGACCCGTTTCACCCTGCAATCCATCAGGGCTCCTGTCCCTCGGTCACGCGCTTGCGGCTATTTTGATGTGGGCTGCAGTGCGCTCTCGGTGAAACCGGCAAGTGGTTACAGAAAAAGTGCTACCCAAGGGAATGCCTCATCAAACCACACACCATTCACAATGAGCTTTGCTTTGCAGTTGCGTTGCGATTGCTCTGCCATGCTTTGCCCAGGTCTGGCACAACTGCTCTTTGGGTACAAGTGGCCCTGCAATAAGTTGACTTGAGGCGGCGCTTCATACCAGCAGTTGGATTGAGAACCAGGACGACAATGTCCCCGTCATGGCAAGTCCTTGCCGAGGTGATCTGAGGTAGCAACTCATCTGTCGTCTGCACGCTGGCCGCTATCCAAAGGCAATCCGTATCTGCTGCCACATCGAAATTGTCAGAGATTGCAGGGGTATGGAGAGCCTCCTGCTTGGCCATGATCGTGTCGCAGGAGTATCCAAGAAGGTTTGAGTATTTAAAGACACCTCGACTGACTCAGCACGGTCTCATGTTGGCTCATCTTTCTGAATCTCCTTCACAAGAGATGCCTCGGCTTCAGTCAGAACACGCTTTGTAAGCATCCGTTCCTTAGTGCACTGGCAATGGCACGCTGTTTAAGGGCATTATTTGTTTTTACTGCCCCCTCTTTCAAAAAGCGTGAAGTTGACGTCGATTTCTTCACAACGTTGCAATCATGGCTGATCAGGAGAAACAACCACCAATACAGCAGAATGTCAGTATTTGTGAGGAGACATGTGCCCCGATAAAGACCGCTCACAATCCACTATTTGCATCTATTTGCAGCATAATTAGCCAGCGCCGTACAGAACCTCTTTCATGCCATATACAAAGGCCTGAGACTTTGTGGTCGGTATTTATAATATATTATATATATATATTATATTATATATTTAATTGAGAGCCTGCAAAGCACAAAATAGCAAAAACTAATGCTGCCAAAGTTCCAACAAACCTGTCTGGCTCAAAGCATGTAAAACCTTCTGTTGATGTCGGGAACTTACGTGTTCACTCGGCAACGAGACATCCTGCAATTCAAAATTGCAGAAACACTGGAACGAAATATAACAAGCCTGCGTTCATTGTTCATACCTGCACCTTCGCACCAAAAAGCAATGCTGCTTGTTGCTACCCATCATGCTTCATCCAGACATATCCAGACCGTTTACATCCTTTCACCCTGACTATCTTTTGGGATGAATTTGCAGTGCCGCCTCTGTATACAGGTACTAATAGGTACAACATTTTACAACCTCAATGTCCTGCAGTCCTGCATGACGCCAATCAGTTTCATGAGGGCTCGAAATGGCACAGAAGCATCCTGATCGCACTGAGGTCACTCACTCAAACGACGGCGACCGGTTGGGTGTAAATCAAACCGTTTGGGAGCCATGGGGAGCCGGTGGTGATGGAAGAAGCCCATTAACTGATTATATAATATTATAATATAGATGAGATTATAGCCTATTATTCATGCCTCCATGAATGAATATTGCACAAGCGCAAAAAATGCCTCCCGCAATATTCTCCCAGTGTTCCACAACATGCCACGACATGCCACATCTGGACTGTCTGGGATCTGTCTCTCTGTCTCTCGCCTCCTGACTCCTTTTTGCCCAAATGCCGACAGCACGACCCCAGCGTGGCCAAAGATCAGGAGATGCCATGGAGATGCACCGCGCAAGTGTCTTGGCCGTGGCAGCGAATCTAACATATACTGGCACAAAAATAACACATTGACATGAACGCAGTCTCTGAAGACAGCTCAAATCTATTCAAATCTGCAAATTGTTTTTTGGATTTTTTTGGGCTTTCATGTGGTTTGATCTGTTTTAATTAATTGCATTTTGTAATGCTCGGTGATTCTTGCAGTAAATGCATTCATAGCGGAGGTGGCCACAAGAAACATACCAGATTGGCTGATGGCTGCTGTGCTTTCCCAGGCGCGGCGCCAGTGATGTGCACTTTGTTCCCGGAATTTCCAGAACGGAAGTACATAGCTGTCCCCTCCTCCTGGGATGACAAACAAATACAAACAGACTATTGATATCTATTGATGGTGGGGTCCAACCTTGACTCAAATAGATTCAAATTGCGCTTTTGAATCTACCGCGCCAAGTGACTGAACATCAAATGACTGCAAGTTTTTTTTTGGTGCAATGGCAAACATCAGGTTTCTTAAAGTTTCTCAAGGTTTCTCATGTTTTTCTTTTCTCAAGTCTGCCTGGAGAAAACCGTTCGAATATCTTCAGATGGCTTTTGAATGCTTTTGAATTGAAGGTTCAATGTTTTTCTATCTTCCAAAGCAGGTAAGCAGGTAACTTCGGTACATACTCCCGGCACTTGATGCACATCTACTGTCCTGACGACTGCGACGGCAAAGCCGCCTGACAAAACCTACCTCAGCAGGTTTGCTAAAGCCAATAATCAGTACCAAGTAGAAGGAAATAAGATGAAATAAGTAGAATTGAACTAAGAGAAAAGAAACAACTGCCTCCTGAGACTCCATGGCTACATCCTGTAACTGCATGCTGCATACCATAGCCGGACTCGTAGCTGCATCATACCTGCGTTCCACGACACGTCAGCTAAGCCCAGCTGCTGCGCAGCGACCCCGCGGCTCAGGCAGTTCCAGGCCAGCCAAACGAACGACGAGGAAGTGGAGCAAATGTTGGGAGGCAGGCAGGCCAATCCTTTCCATCCTCGACGCGCCAAAGACCGCCAAGGTTCGAGCTAAAAGATACACTAGGTAAAGCCTGGTCGAGCAAAAAGTAGCAAATAAACTCATAGAAGCACTCATCCTCTCTTCTCTCTTTGATCAAATTTCACCCATTATCTCATGACTCATCATAGGTGGATATCTGCAGCATTTACTAGCAAGCTTGCTGACCCGATGAAAGCTTCGCAACGTTTCGCAACCAATCACTCAAAATGGGCCAAAGGCTCTCATGTAAAAACTTTATGGCCAAGCGCGGCGGAACTTTCGGATCTGCGGCCAGCTCTGCCAGGCTTCGAGCAAAAACATTCATTTCCTCCACGGCGCTGCAAATGTCATGAACGATCAAGAGACGAGCATGCAGCATAATGAAGTGTAATGAAGACCAAACCGCTTTGCAGCTTTGCTGCCGGGTTTGCCAATTCCAAGTCCTTGATGCCACTTTAGAGAAGGCCTATCTCAGATACTTACGTAAGCAGGAAAACTGTGGCATTATGGAAAACTGTCATGGTGCCATCAGTCAATGCAAGACTGCAATACCCAAAATGAAAGATTGCCAGAGGTGCCGAGTCCTTGCGTCGCATGTAGGCCAACAGCCCCAGGGCTTCGTTCACGCGTCTTTCCTTGACAAAACCAGGTGAGCTGAGCTTCTCTGAAAACGTGAGATTATGTCATACATTGCTTACGCTAGACCCTACGCTACTTACGCGACCACCGTTTTGACTTACCCGGCAGGCGTGTAACTACGTAAAATGACTTACGCAAAGCTTACGCTGACAAGTTCGACTTAAAATCCATAGGAATCTTTATGCCAGAGGCACGAAACAGCTTACGCCAGAGCTTACGCATGGTATTTTGCAAAAAGTGGCTTACGCATGCTTATGCCACTTGCGAAACCCAAGGTTGTGCTTACGCGACCCAGTCATAATAACACAACTCTTCTTAAAGTGTCAGATGTATTCAGGGGCTTTTCTGTGACTGGGATAGCCGCAAGAACCAGTATCCCTGAGCAGCAAATGACACACACCCGTCATTGGTGCCATTGAAGCGTCGCGTAGAGCTAGACGTATGAGTGCATGGAAAGTGCCAGGGCTTGGCAGCATCGCCTGAGAAAGGGACAACATAAAAACACGAGGACACTCTCAAACACTCCAATGTGAGATAAGCAAACCCACCACTAGCAAGACAACGACTGCAAATAATCATTGTTGTGACAGTCATGATGGTCTCGTGTCTTCCTGAAATAGTGAAGTATAGTATAGCAGTATAGTGAAGTTGAAGGCCACTATAATATATACCGTTTCAAGCGAACGTACATGTTGCATCATGTTGCCTAGTGGAGCCACATGCCCTTAGAAGCTTCGATATTTTCCATTAAATAACATTAAATTTAATATGCAATCTATACCGCCGGTCACTCAGTCCTCATCCGTTGTCTATACCACCAAGGTGCAGAGAGGGGCATTGGAAGCTCAGGGCTATGTCCGGGCTTCTCACCTGGGTTTAAGGATCGTTTCAAGCACCGCCCAGAGAGGGTATGCCAAATTGTGCCAAATTGCACAAACGGATTCCACGGTGGGGTTGATTAAAACCGAATTGAAACCCAGGTTTCCAAATGTTTCCAACATGTCCTGCGAGAATGATGAGAATGCCTTGAAAAAGGATGAACGAGGATGGTCAATCCATGTCAATCCAATGTCAATCCTTTTCTTTCCACCCCACTCTGAGAGAAGCAACCCGTGCCAAGGAGGGACAAAAGCTGCTCCTCCTGTCGAACAGCAGCCATAAACAATGCTTAATTTGTATCGTTTTATTGCGGACAGTCCAGCTGTGCAAATGAGGTTGTCCGTTCTTCTTTTCCGGTGAAACGGCTGGTGGATGCCGACGGCAGTTAAAAAACACGGCGGTCGCGGTCCTTATATTTCTTATGGATGACTATGGATGACCGTCAATTTTAAAAGCTGATTGAAGTCCTCTTCGGTACTCACTGCACGCAACATTTCTCGAAGCACGTCCATCGCCTTGGAGAAAGATAGCTTGCCTGACGCGCAGAATGAGCCCTCTCGAAAACATCTCCACTAGCTGCAGCACACCATGTGGATAAGACAATATAAGACATAATAAGACACAGCCATAGCATAGCCATAGCGATTGTGGCAAGGCATTGTGGACCAGCATGACTCTGGCATGACCGTGATACAACACGTGCTTCGCTTTTGGCGCTGCACACGGGGTCTGGAGTCAAAAACTGTTTGTGTTGGCTGGCCACCAGACCCTTTGTTTATCAACAAGTTGGTAAAGTATGGAACAAGTTAGACTAGACATGACTAGAGGATGTTAATATAGACATAGACGTTCAGGCCTTCACCAAGCACCTCGCCTGCAGTTTGTTCGCCATTCTTGCCTCCCTCATACACAGAATAGCCTTTGCCACGTCTTATATTCCTAAGTAAAGGGAGACGTGTGGCACGATCTGATTCCAGCACTAATTTCTGCAGAATACATACTGCTAATGCTGAGTTACCATTGAACTATACAAGTCTGCGAGGTATGTTAACTACTGCGGCTGGGTTTTCATTATGATCATCAAAAAGTACGGGTGGGATCGGAACGCCTACAGCTGTACCTTAAAACTACAACGCAGAAACTCTTTAAAAAAAATTAAAAAGTACCCCAAACTCATTTGCAAACACCGTCCTGCTAATCCCAAAGTCTTAGCCTCATAAAGATAGACTTGCCCCCAAATAACATGTGTTTGATTCATCTTTCTAAATGTCCACCTGCAAATATTTTCATGCATACACCTCCGGGAAAGAACTCGTTTGTTGAAAATATTCAGGGGATCTCAGGGGAGAGTATGGGACAAAAAAAACACGGATTTACTTTACACGGCTTTAAAACTGACCCAATCACTCCGTGAGGTACTCGCCAAATTCTTAACATACCTGATGGGCTTGTATACATTGAACCAGTGCCAAAAAAATGGGTTTAAACCTCCGCATGAGGCGACAGATAGCTGGCCAAGAAGAGGTACAAGCAGGGCATCATTGTTATCCGTCTTATCCGTTACTGAGGTTACAGTTTCGAAGATGTTGGGAGGCTGTGTCGAGAAGCATTACAACAAGCAACAGCCGGTTGACCAACCATTACACAACACATCTCAACATAACGACCACAAAAACTACTGGCTGTAAAGCAACTACTATTGCCAAAGTGACTCGTTTTGTTCGCGCTCAACTTGACGCCGCAAGCGAAGACGATGGAAATGGCAACGAAGTTTCACCTCATCAAGAAGGACATCGACAACAACCTGTATATTGATGACAAATATAGTCGAATAATGTTGAATAGTTGTGACATCTGTGGCTTCGTTGTGACATGTTGTGACGATGTTGGAAGCGCTTGTGGGGGTCCACATATTCGCTCCCAATGTTCCAATGCATCTAGTGATGTGCAGAGGTAGAGGGGTTAAGTGCTTTGACATGGCTTGGCTTCCGCTTCGGATGAGTGAACTGTGTGAACAGAGTGCGAAGAGTGCTATGCGATGCTACGCGTTGCTCCAATCTCCAGAGACCTGCCTCCGGCAGCAGAGCTCGAAATTGGGCCATTGCTCCAATGCAAGACATGCACGGTGTTTGGTCCACGAGAAGGCGTACTTCTCCATGAATAGATCTGGTCCTGGACACTTGCGAGCTCTCGTCATGCTGTTACATGCTACTTTGGCACTAGACTGCTTTGTGAACAGGTCTTGATCGCAATAAGCTTCCATTCTCAATTACAGGACTTACAAGTATACTTACAAGGTTGCAAAAACACCAGCCGCATTCGCATTCAATCTGTGTTCACTGTAGTATGCTAATGTATGCTACCATATGCTACATTATGCTACCAGGTTACCAGGTCATATCAGGTCAGTGGTCTATGTCCTTCCAGGCCTTGCATCTGAGCTGTGGCCAAGCTGCCGAGCCTCACGTAGGACATGAGCCAAGGCCTGGAGCAATGAAGTGTTTCACTGATTCGAATTCCCCAAAGTTTTCCAAAGCAATCAAAAAGAAAGGTCAGCAGAACCATCAAAACCTGTAAAAAATCAGTTCGATTCTATGTCTATAAACGAAGGCACTATCTATATTATGCTTATAGGTACGGATCGGTTTTACAGCACGTATTGTTTAAGTTGCATTTAGTTGCAAAGTACAGTAAGATCAGTAAGGCCCCGCCGTGTCATGGAGAACTTATGGGATGCCAGGTAGACTTGTGGGGAAGGCACCTCCCATATCTTCCAATGAGCTTGGAGGATAGTGAATGTCGCATTACGTTCTCATAATGTCTCTGATGCTGCTTGCTTCAAATATCAAGCTTCTATCACTTCCATCTCTTTCACAAAACAATTATGCGGCAAAAATCAAAAGGTAGCGCAAACACACGCATTTTGTTTGCATGTCTCTCCCACTGTGAGGAATAAAGCATAATCGCTGGGCAGTCAACTGGACAGCGCACTCGCCGGGTCCAAGTGCACGAGTCTGTCAACACTTTCCCGTCACAAGAATCTGTTCTTCAAAGGTCCCGTTGCCCAAAGGCTGGCGATCTAGTCACCAAAATGCATCCCATTCTGGGTCAGCTCAAGCAGCTCAGGGGCAATTTCCTGTGAACTTTAAAACTCTTTAGACTTTAGAATCCTCTGTGCAATTTTTTAGTTATAGCATTTTATAATATTTTATAGCTATCCTCCACAAACATCTACGAATATCCTGCATTCACTGACTTGCGCAGTGAAGGTTGGCTGTACTTGGTGATGATGCTGCCAGGCTTTCCATGGGCTCCTGGGACACCAGGTGGAGACCGGCTGTTGAGGTAGGAGGCAACTGCTTCCAACTTCTTCATCCTCTGCCCCCAACTTTGCAACTTTTCAACCTCTGGCTGCATCAATCTGACATGTTGGATGTTTTATGATGTTTTGGTACATTGATCTGCAATCAAAAGTTCAATATAAGTTCAATCCACGTAGTCCAATTGGGTCTGCAAACTTCACACAGGAGAAGAATGCTAATGAATGCTACTACCTGCCTTTGTCATCCTTGTCAAGGTTTCGGGAGAAATGAAAACGAATTTGCGCTGGAACTTGCCAACATCAAACCGTATGATCAGAAGGTCAACCTTTGCAGCTTCTTGCAGGTGGCCCCAGCTCCAAATAGTTCCCACGACCAACGAGTTGAAATGCGAAAGCATAGTAGTAGAAGACTACAACATATTATACTTATAGCATCTTATAGCCGCTACCAAGTTTTGTGAGGAATGACCGCTGCAATGCCGTAGTTGGCAAGTCCCAAAGTATTGCGTAACCTTATCAGCCTTATCATGATGGCAAGGACGGCAAGGAGCTTTGGAAGCCGTCGCGGGATCTGTTTCGTTCAAAGAATCCAGCACAGTGAAAAGCATGAACTCACCGAAGTGTGGTCGCTCCCCCCCGAAGAATGGACCATCCAGCTTGGATTCCCAAAGCTGTAGTGTCTTCAAGAGATCCTTGTCTGTTACTGGCTGTTGTCCAAATTGAACATGCATACAGCTCTTGCACGCTTGAGTAGAAACTACAATCAGGGAAAGGAATTCGGAATATGAAGAAATTCAATTAAAAAACACTTGATGTTTCTCTCCATGGCTTTTTACCGCACCATGTGCAAATGAGGATGCAAATGAGGATGCAAATGAGGATCTCAACAAAGATAACAAAGTCTATATCATGCATTAGATTGTAAAGTTTATTAAAGTTTCTATCAAACTCTGGCAAGCATCGCTGTATGGAGGAAGGTCTGCCAAGTTTCCATGGTATGTGTTCGGCAGTTCCCCACGGAGGATTGCATCTGTGACCTCCTCCGGGTAGGATGCCAGCATGCAAACGGGGAAAATGAGTGGATATGTGTTGCAAGCCGCAGCCATTTCGTTGGCTTCAGCTGTCTTTCCTGGCGCAAATGCTTCGGGATTTTGCTCCGCGATGAAGCGCCCAATGTCGGCAGTCTCCGGAATCATTTCCCCGGTGGGCAGCTGTAGAACCTGGGCAACAACTTCACACTTTACATATATTGTACCCTATAGTTGGATGGACTTAGGTGCGTAAGAATCAAAATCCACTGAGAAGGAAAATCACTGCCAAGTGACTGGCAAGCCTCGATTTCCTGCGGGTCTGGTGACCACTCCTGGCACACCTTTGCCTTCAGGCATCTTGTCCTTCATCACCTTAAAGTTCGGTTGCAAACCTACAAAAAAAGAAAACAAATAATCCTTCTGACTCGGGTGATCTCGGGTGCATATGCACGATTCGAAACAGGTTCTTCAACTCGGCCCCGGAACAAGCTGGTGGCGAAGTTGAAACCGATTCAGTACTTGTCTAACGTGCCGAGAAAACTGCCAAACCAAGGCTGTGTGACACTCCATTCCTCTGGAGTATAAAGGCGATCAACATATTCTTTTCCTGCCGTCCGAAGGAGCATGCGCAAAGCCTCACCTCTTCCTCTCACTGGGAAGTAGTGCAAAGTCACTGGAAATTTACCTTGGCCGGCAGATTTACCAAACTTCATCGTATTCAGCAGGACTCTCTGACATTATAGTGCTGAAAACGTGATCACTACAAGAACATGTTGGTGGTTGAGCCCCTTCTTTGCTTGGAGCAAAGTGTAAAACACAGCTCTGGCTGCGCTGTTTACTTTTCAAACTTCAAACGGTCTCAAACAACACCAACGCATTCTGCTTTGCTGGGATGCAACCAAGTTCCACTTTGCCTACCAAGGCTGGTTTGATTTAATTGCGGGACCATTGGGGAGCCAAGGGAAATATACAAAAACATAGTGAATGTCAGCTATTTTCGTGAAACCGAGGTGCTCTGACCACGACCTTCGAAGGACTTGCCATCTTTGCCCCATTGCGATCCATTCGCTACAAAAGCATAATTTGCCTCAGCTGTCTGTAGCAAAAGACCCAACATCTCTTAGCAATTCCGTTCATCTTTCAAGTAGAAGCCTAATATATTCATTTTTGTTGACAGTATCACGCATGTTCCAACATGGGTGATCCGACAGGCTTTGACTGCTTGAATAGAAATGGAGACAGCATTGCAAATCACAGTGGTGCCAAGTGATTCTACAACACTTGCAAAATCTTGCAATCAGTTTCATGGGAATAATGCCTATGTTGTTTGTGCTTATGCATCAATGCACGCTCTGCCACGGCAGCCACGTGACAATGATGTCCTCATCAGGGCAATTACCATTTTGGAACTCTGGCAAAGCTCTCACAGCTTCAAGCAGCTCAGAAATACGAGGGTCTTGTATGAGTTGAAAATCACGGTAATGGGCCAGCGTGACCTTAGTTTCTTTGGTTCTCCGCCTAGTCCAAGATTCCAACTGCACCAAATGAAACCAAATGGATCTTCACAATCATTTACAACATGGCACAACTGGTGACTTTGGCAGTGTGGCACAGAAGCCCTTTTGATGATGAGGGGAAATCAAAAGTGGATCAAAATGGTACAGACGAATCTTGGCTGCTTGCAGGTTGCACTCAAACGGTGCAGAAAAGGTCCACAATGCACATCAGCCAAGGACACAGCTCCTCCGACGCAAAAGCGGCCTTCAGCAGCGAGGACGGATCGAAATTTCTGCATGCTGGCGTTGATCTTGTCCGCCCATTCCTGATCTTTTGCTGGGTCTTGATTGCGAAGCAAACCAAACAACCTGAGCACAAGCGGCAAACAACATCAGCCCGTATCTCTCCGTCTGACCCAAATAAGGAAAATAGAAAAGAATACGTGAAATTAGGTGAATACGTCTGGACAAATCTCGGATAAGGCACGATAAGGCTAAAATAGACTGAACAAGCCCAGCAACCCAGGGACCACGTCATTGAATTTCTTCATTGCAAGACGCATGTGGCTGGCTTTCACGGGGTCACTTGGCACAAGTTTGGGCGTGGACGTCTGTGAGATCATGTCGAAGTACTCAGCCAGGATCTCGGATTCAGTGATGATGTCGCCTAAGAATGCTCCAACAAACTGTCAAAACACACGTCCATTATCCATCAGTATCCATCATTATCCTCCATGGGCATCTCCACTGAGACTGACCACTTCAAGATCCTTAAGATCCTTAAAGCCTCTAGCTGTCGAAAACATCAGGCATCATGAAGCTGCCGAGTCTGCCAAATTTGCCAAGTCACCACTGTTGGTCTTCAGGCTAGGAACTTCACCGCTTGGATTGACAGATTTCTTGTATTCATCTTTCATTGCCCTGGCAAACACGATGTCGCCCAGAGCAATGTGAGCCCCTCTTTGTACTGACCCAAGTGGATCCAAATGGCATGTGGGAGTTGCAAGTACTGCAGTCAACCGGGCTACTGTGCAATTTTGGATCACCCTTATACACTCAATCTGGGCAAATCACAATAATGTAAACATGAATCGATGCAAAGAGTAGTTGCTGTCTTTTCCTCTTCATCATCACCCACTGTAAGAAAGGTGCTTTTGACTCGATGGTTAATTACGTGTTTTTTGCAGCTTTAGTCTTCAGCCCGTATAAGTATAGCTGGGTGCCACCAAATCCACTCCACCAAATCCAAACACTTGCTGTACTTGGTCAAGTAGCTGGAGTTCTTCCACAGTCATGCCTTCAAAGTTCTTGGTTGCTCCCTGGATGGCCTTAACACCGAGGCGTTCCGCAAACTCCACTTGCCGCCCGTAGGGAACATATTGCACCTTTGTGTCCGTTGGGGGCCGCAAGGCCCGAGCAAACATGGCCCGATGGGAAAACGGACAAGAGTCATTCGTGTAGTGAGTCGCCATGGGTGACCCGGTGATTGCCCTGTGCACACAGCACAACTGATACAACTGTCTAAGCGGCGCGCGACAAATCGTGAAGTCACAGCGGTCACTCTTTTCAAGACATCTCAAGACTCAAGGTCAAGAACGATCACTGGTCGTTCAGAGTGTCAACATGTGTCAACTGTGCAAAGTTTGGAAGCAAAGGAATACCTCTTCAAGGGATAAGTGGGGATAAAGTCACATGATACGAGTTTGGGACTAACCGGCCTAACCTTACTTTCTTTCCACCATGACAACCCCCAAAACAATCTGCCGCGCTGAAAGGATGGTCTTTGAATCCCCGGCAGATCAGGGACGTCTGAAGCAACTGAAATCAACGGAATCATGCGGAATCAATGGAACCACACCACGCCATCCACGCCATCCACGCCTGAATTTCACAGTCGAGTGCTCGGCTGTAAGTACTGAGCGCCAATGGGACAAGGGGCTCCACTGACCTCCATGGACTGCGAGTATGGCACGTGCACATTTTTCCACTCACTAGTGAGCCAGTAGTGGCCACACAGTCAGTGTCGCTAATTCATGATTATTATGATTTGTGTGTTGAAAACGCTAGAATCATCTAGAATCCATGATTCGCGTTGGTACTGGTGAAATCAGCCGTCAAATGTGTTGTCACCAGTGCAATCCATGCAAGCAAGTAGGATCATAATCTATATATAGTATAGGTATATACCTGGTCTACGACTATCTATGACTATCAGCAATCCGTGACAAGAATGCAAAGTCAGAAAACCTACGACACAACCCAACCCCAAGCACTAAATAAACAATTGGTAGGCAAAGACCACATCAATCCACTTCAAGCATGATTCATATTGCGCCACTGACGCCCTCCCTTGAAGTCCGTCCAACAATGGATTTTTCCCCACCTGCCAGGTGAGGGTTGTTAGATTTTATCAGAGTTGTTCTCCTCCTCCTCCTCCTCGGCTAGCTGTCCTCCTCCTCCTCCTCCTCCGCCTCCTCCTCTACTCTAGTTTCTCCTCGACCATGTCTGCATCAACTTCCACCTCCACTTCCGCCTTGCCAACTCTTCGCCAAGCTCTTCGCCAACTTCCGAGCTCAGTGCGCACTGCTGGACCTCAACCTGGGACCTTCCCAGCTCAGTGTGCACCGCTGGACCTCAACCTGGGACCTTCCCAGCTCAGTGTGCACCGCTGGACCTCAACCTGGGACCTGCCCAGCTCAGTGTGCACCGCTGGACCTCAACGGCCAGATAGAATGCCAGAAGATATGCCAGATAGAGTGCCAGAAGATATGCCAGAACATATTGCAGAAGATATGCCAGGTAGAATGCCAGAAGATATGCAGATAGAATGCCAGAAGATATTCTAGATAAAATGCCAGAACATATGTCAGATAGAATGCCAGAAGATTTGCCAGTAACAAAATGTATAAATGTCATGGTGGGGATAACTCGAAGTAAAGTAATTTTTTAGTCTACCAATGTAAATCATGAATCTATATGAATCTGGGATAATCTGGGCCATAGTCTTCACAAAAGGCAGAAAAGAGGCTCACGTTGCCGCTCTGGAGTGCCCGTTGATCGACCCGCCTGTTTGTGCCATCCTCCGTGTCAAGTGTGGCACATGCAGCAGCACCTGGGCAACGCCGGGTAGCTCCTTCATCGCCTTACCTGCAAAATAGTTATCTAATGTTATCTAATGTTAATATAGGTGTGCATATTATTGCGCATCGACATACATGCAGTAAGCGTCAACAAGCCAATGTTCACAAACATGCTGTAAAAACCTATGAGGCCTACCAAGACCACAGCGGCCATCTAGAGTTGTCCTGGCCATCATACAGCCAGGCAAGTTAGAGTTGGCAGTCAGGCTTCATGGAAATGGATGTACACAAAATATATCAAAATATGTCATTCAATCTGCCAAAATGCCCTGATGACCGCTGCGAAGCAGAATAGTGCCTTCTGCCGTTTGGCTCGAAGAATTGCAACCTGCCAAATGTCAGCGGAGCAGAATCGCAAAATCCATGCAAAAGTATTCAAAAGTCATCTGTTGGTTGTCAAACATCACTGTAGCGATTTAAATGAATTTAGAAATCATCTGCACACATGCTTCTCTCTATCGGAACAGATCATTTCCGAGCTGACTATTCGTACCAGTAGGTCTAATTTTGAATGGGGGCTCTTGCCACGATGCGATGCTCAAACTCCGAAAACAATTGCCCACACAAGTGTCCGCAGTAGTCTGGGAAAACCACGGAACAACTTCATACTTCCGACGCAAGCCTGACAAACAATACCGGACTAAAACCTTGACAAGCAGCTCAAAGCCCAGGATGCAAAGCCAGAGGTTCGCTCCCTGTCTGGCACAGGATTTGCCTGTGCTCCATCCAAAAACGGAATATACTTTTCAGTTTGTCAAATCAGCGGCAAAAACCTTCCTTGGAACATGTGAGGGCAAAAGCAGGGTTGTGGTCACCACGCAAAACGGGCATGAATAGCGGCACGCCATGAACCCGAATACATTGAAATGATTGAAGATGAAAAATGTGTTTTCAATACCAGTACATGTGCGAACAGGCACATTGTCCTGCATATTTTATTGTGATGCAGCGGGGCAACAATCACAGCCACTGTTGGTGGTTCGCAATGCTGAAAGAATCATTGGTTATTGGCATGTGCGACTTGTCCTGCCTCCAGGAAGGGTATCTCCAGAAGGCGCTCCAGCATCTGTGCAGCGGAAACTTCCCATTCCGGAGCATCCTGCCAGCCCAAACGCAACTGACATAGACCTAACCCGTATGGCCCAAAGGCCACCAAGCTTATGCAATTCTTACACAAAAATGCAGAAAGATCCACCACCCATCATGAGCTTTCATGCAGGACTCATCATCTCGGCTCAAAGGCTTCAACCTCACAGTCCTGCAAGTCCCAGTCTGTGAACACATCAAGGCGCTCAAGAAGTCGCTGCGCGGAAGCTGGGTCCACTCCAGAGACATTTGGCTCCTTCAAGATTCGTGCCTGAGAAGCTGTATGTAACCACAAGATTGTTGTATGCAATATTTCAACTGATGTGCTCATGGAGTGTCATCTTCTTCCGTTGATCTTGAGAGAGACCGCACAGAAGGAATAGTTGGCTCGGGCGTGTATAGTGTATTGAAATCCAGCAAGTTGATAAGCGGCAGTCAACGTGACCTATGTATATTAAATATCATGTATGATCATGTCATGTATATGCACAACAAACCTATAACGAACTACTAATGCCACACAATCCTCAAGCGCAAGGATTGAACAAATGTCCTCCATGCGTTTTTGATATTCTTTTGGCTCTGTCAAAGCCCAAGGAGGAGATCCTTCTGCAGCCTGGAAGATCCCAAACCGTCAATCACAACCGGCACAAAGCCTGCCTTGAATGATCCCTTAATTGCTGTCGTTATCCTTCAAACCCCTTGATTAGCATTGGACCTTAAGGCGGATGTTCATCACATAATAGCAACCGATGGAGCCCCCCAACAAATCTACAAACAATACGAGCTTTCAACGAAAATACCGTATCTGCATAGATCTGCATAGCCAAAGGGTCTCAAAGGTCCTGCATAGTTTGTTTTAAGCTGCAACATAATGTTCGTAATGTTCCAGCAATCAACCGCTTCCAATATAACAGAAACCCCCAGCTGTCTCAGAAACGCGTTCTTGTCGTCCGTTTTGTCAACCACTAGATCACTAATTAGGCAATTTCCAAGGCTGAAAGCAGAACCGCTGGTACCTTCAGCAGTAGGTCGCTCAAGTCTTGAAGCACATCCTGAAAATGACCTGCCAGCAACAAAAAATGAAAACAAGGTAGCAGTAGGAGGAGGCAAAAGAAAAGGTTGAGGGAGTTGAGGGCCGATGCTCTCTGAGACTCTCATTGTTTGATGGTCTGGGAAAGGAACCCAAATAGGCCATGGCCACCTAAAGTGTGCCAACAACAAAATGAACACAATAAGCGACGCTTGCTGGGGGAGTGCCTTCAATTTCCTGTCCCGTCGCCGCGAACTCTCCATCGAATGCTTCACGATGCTTTTGATAGCACTGGTACAGGATCACCTTCCCACAAATACACAGATCCCACATGATCCCACTACGACAGCGAACTCTCAATAGAATCTGCTGGAAAATGCAGGAGTTCAGTGGTGCGTGAGATGCTTTCAGCACTGTACCTGGCTCTTCAGCACCCTTTTCAAAATTCGAACGGCAAATGTCAATCCACCCATATTTTTTCCACGCGCAATTGAGGGCCTGGGCCAATAGGCTAGCATGCTTTTCAGCTGCATTGTGGCACCAGGAATTCAACACTAGATCTCTCGACCCGATAGTGTATTTTTTTACTGTCGGCTGAGACCTTGACACAAAGGAAATAGCTCAATTACACAGAATTTCAAATTTCCACAATTTACCCCGTTCTTCTTGGATCACTGATGCCATTTGGTGCCACATCCCCAGCCGCCTTTGCGCGAGGTGACAGGCGCTCGTCCACAGAAACGCCTTGCAGAATGGATCTCAGCAGCTCCGGCACCAGCTGTGCTGCGCAGCTGCCAGGAGGCAACCAGAAAAAAGAACTCATGAGGGCCTGCGCCAAAATCGTCATGTCAAAATGGTTCCACCAAGTCAGGTTAGTTTCTAAACATTTATAATATCATCATATATATATCATCTATAGGTATGTGTATGACACATGGGGCTGTCAAAAAACCCCGATATCAATCAAATGGTGTTTCCACGCGTTATCGTTTTTGTTTCCTCTTATCGTTTTTCCAAGTGCTGGCTTCACACCCTCATGAAACAATTCATATTGTGTTTTCTTTGTGGGATATCACCTTACAACCACCAGCTTCACATCTGTTTTTCGGGGAAAAACTTGCATCTGCAAAGCTTGCTGCTTCGAACATGTCCCATAAACAATATATAATGTATATGCATGTATGAGCATCGTTATCGTTTTTTTTCCTCTTATCGTTTTCTCGAGTGAGAACTGCATATAGCTAATGGGGGATCATGGCATACTAAACGAATAGGTGCCGGGTTATTCTCTCCCACATGTTGATACGGCATGAATATGACGATTTTGAAGAAATCACATGATGCTAAATGAAGGAGTAGCTGCGAGTACTACCAGTTGCTGACTGTTCTGGTGCTGCACGGTGCTGGTTTTAAACATGAACACTCGAAATGGATGGGGGGTGGGCAGGATGTATGGGAAGTTTGATGCATGAGAGCCTACAATGTCGTACAGTACAGTGGCAAATTGAAAAGCCGGTTCAATCTAGGAAAGTTTGTGCTATGCGACATGGTTATCAAAACATCCACTACACACGCACACATATATATCATATATGGTGGTTGATCAAAATTGAATTCCTTTATCCGCAAACGGCCGTTCCGCGCGAATAAAAACATAATAAACCTTTGCGAAACTTTCGCGAAACTTGTGCGAACTCCACGTTTACTGTATCTTTTGCGGGGCCCATGTTGGGCAACAACGTCTCTTATGAAGATTCTTTCACCGCCTGCCAAATTACGCCAGAGAATCACGGATCACTTCTTGATAGCCTTTTAAACATGCAGCTAGCATCATGGAATCCCTTCTCGGGACAGATTGTTGCTGACTATATGTTTATTTTTGCAAGGTTTACCGACCCACCCCCTTCAACATGCACTTTGACTTTCGCCCGCTCCTTCGCGGAACTTTCGCGGAACTTTCGCGAAAATATCCTATTCAAAGACCCCGGCCATCAGCAGGGGGCGCATTGAAGGAAAAGCGAACACCAGGGGCCTTGATGTGTGGCTCTCGCAAAGCCTCACTTTTGGAAACTTGGCTGCTGCGTTTGGAGCTTGTTTCTTGGGACTTCAAAAAGCATCATTAGGCAGTGACAGCAGCAGGTGCAAGGATGCGCTTCAGGACCATGGTGTTTGGCTGTCCCGAAGCCTCACCTTTGGAAACTGGGCTGCTACCTATGAAGGGCAAGATGATTGTCCCCACACAGGGAACTGAACCAGAACCAAACCAAAATTCTCCGGTGCCCTTCTCCTGCCGGACCCCGGGCGGCAGTGGGTGGCAGCCCTTTACATATAATATATATAATGATTACAGTATAAGATCCAACTTTCGCGAAACTTTCGCGAACTCGAAAAAACTTTCGCAAGGGTTCCCAATATAACATGAACGGTCTTCGCAATTAAAACTCTTTACACGGACCTTTAGATAGATTACCATATCCACAGTATATGTGTGAGTGTGTCCAAATGTAATTAAGTATATATGTCTGCCTGTCTGCCTCTCTTCCTGTCTGCCTGTCTGCCTGTCTGCCTGTCTGCGTGCCTGCCTGCCTCCCTGCCTGCCTGTCTGTCTGCCTGCCTGTCTGTCTTTTTATCTCTCTGTCTATCTTTCCACTTCTCTCTCTCTCTCTCTCTCTCTGTGTCTTTCTCTCTCTGTCTCTTTGTCTGTCCGTCCATCCGTCCATCCACTTCTCTATCTATTTCTCCATATCTATCATGTCTGGCACTGACTGTCTGTAATTATTGGAAACTCACGCCGTATCCCAAACAGCACCTGGACCCTTGCTGTGCACCTCAATATCTCCACGCTGCAGCTCAGTGAGGTCACGCTGAGAAATCTGATCCCTCATTCCGAGCAATAGGGCTGATAAGGTAGCAATACAAAACTGACACCGGCAGTGTGCTCCCAGCTATTTCTACTTCCACCCCATATCACCAGGAAAAGACACAGCCTTTCCAGGAGTCTTAGGACTTGCTGCAACTTAGTATTCCTTGATTTTGCCGTGTCGGTTGTCAACCATCAATCAACATTGCCTCTTCTATGATCCAAGGCACATGCCATCTCCTGCGAGTACATTCTGTTACCCAACAACAAATTTCTTTCACTAGCCTGTGTGAGGTGAAGCCAAAACTGCTGCCACATCAAAAAAAAATGCTTCCGTGCTTCTTCAATGTAAAAGAATCCAATTAAACTCTGGAAAACTATGGGCGGAAGAATGCAAATGTCAAGATATGTCAAGATCTGTTCTTCTTGGCTCAATGTGGCGAATTTCAGTTCAAGGCGCAGCACTTGTGCCAGCTTTGTGAGCAGCTGCTCGCGTGCCGCCGCATCCTCCAGCCCTCGACTCAGGCCGTTTGCAACTTGCGCCAAATGTGAAAGCCTGGGGCAAGCCGGAGGTTTGACTCCAAAGAGGGATCCGGTGGGATTCCTAACTATGGTCATGTGCCAAAGCACAAGGGCGAAGGTAGCCCAAGGCTTGATATGGGTCTTTCTGTTGTGCCGGCACACCCCAGTCAGTTCCTCAAGTTGTCTAGCTTCCACCCAAGGTCTTGGCTAGCATAAATGAAACCATGCGGCAAACGCAGTCGAAACGTGTGTTGTTTCTGACCAGCCTCATATTCGGAGTGCACAGCGCCAAATCGCCTGGCCCAACGCGAGCGCAAGAAGTTTCGTATAGAAAAAAGTCCCCCTCAGCCCCCCCCAAAAAAACATACGCGATTGAGATCAAGTGGGTAGAGGGCCCATTTGCAAAGTACATAATAAGAATCAAACGCCGTCTTGTCCGGGCGAACTAATTAGTGCAACAATGTGTGAATATGAAACATTGGGCAGAAACAAATCAAGATACATCTCACTGGATCAAAGCACGCACCTGTAAGTGAATATAGCTGTTCAATTCTATGGGCATTGGCATTGCACATCCTACCAAGAATATGCAACAATGACATCGGCACTGAGGAGCACCTTTGAAACATTTCGCAGTTTCACAAATATGTTTTAAATAACTTCACCCACAAGCCCACGAGCATTGAAAATTGCACCTGCAAATGCAATATTCATCAATGCACACGCAAACAAGAATAAACACAGAAAGAGAGAGAGAAAGAGAGACACACACACACACATGCACACGCACACGCACTCATACAAACACCCAAAAAATGCGAACATTGCATCATACAAACAAATGCCGCGGGCATTTGTTTAAGTGAATTTGACGTATTGGGGTTGTCTAAAAGACCCGTCTGCTTTTCCATTTTGCCACAAAATGTTATCGATTGCTATCGTGCTGTTCCCTTTATATCGCCGTTTATCATTTGCCATGCTGCGGTATAATCACTACTTGTTCACATGACTGCATCGGTATGCATGTGTGTTCATGTAGTGGCGTGTTCGTTCCGAAGGGATGGAACTGGACTACCCTGAACTTTAAAAACCGTCCAGAACCAATGTTGCAAAAATGGAAACCTGCATGCCTATGCCTTTGCTCCAAATGGAGGGGTTCAAGGAAGCAACGCAATGAGGTAAACTGTTGATAACTCATCTATTTTTGCCAGGGAGTGTGCCCTTATAGTGCAGCCGATCTCATTCATTGCCATATTCACAGACTTGATCATTTCGTTATCGCTTTGTTATCATTTGACCCCCTCACTACAACCTCTGCTTTTTGCCCGTTTCGGGGCATTGGGATCTTTTGAACAAAAAATATCTGACTCACGTTGCCTTGTCGTGTTTCCATTCTATGGTTTACTGAAATCGTACCCGCAGCAACCTCGAAGAGCGAAGGGACCAACCATGACCAACTCCTACTAAAGGTACATTGGTACATCGGAGAGAATATTATCTAGTCCCATATGATAAAAGGAGGTATACAGCATGCTTATGTATGCTTGATATGGCACACATTTGCTGTGCATGTGAAGGCTGCAGCGAATCTGGAATTTGGGTTCTGGACTTTGAACGGTGGCCACGGCTGTGGGAAGCTTACAGTGTTGGGATCTTTGGGATGTTTTTGGGCGCGGATTTGGCCAACTGCTTTTCGATTTCCAAGCTGGGCATAGCTAGCAATAAGCCTACGCAAGGATATGGAGAAAAATGCGACGAAATCTGATAAAACCCACAACCGCCTGACAGTCAGTGTTTTTTTCAAATACCAAATTTTACATTTAAGTGCAGTAAGTGTTGCCACCAAGATTTATCATGATATGTCTGCATATATGCATGTAGGCAGTTTGATATATATGTGTTCAGGAACGAAAGTAGGTTTGTTGCATTGATGATCATTGATGTACGTATCTACGTACGTACGTACTTCTGAAGGTATGGACGTATGGAGGTATGGCTGCACGCATGTACGCATAGATTGCATAGATGTATGGGTGTATGTCATGTATGGATGTATGGATGTATGGATGCATGGATGTACGTATGGGGGCATGGACGTATGGATGTATGGGTGTATGGATGTATGGACGTATGGATGTATGGATGTATGTATGTATGGGTGCATGGGTGTATGTCAATGTGTGTCAATGTATGTCAATGTATGTCAATGTATGTATGTCTGTCTGCCTGCCTGCCTGCCTGTCTGTCTGTCTGTCTGTATGTCTGTATGTATGTACGTACGTACGTACGTACGTATGTATGGGTGTATGGATGTATGTCAATGTATGTCTATATGTCAATCGAAATCAATATGTCAATGTATGTCAGTGTATGTCAATGTATGTCAATGTATGTCACTGTATGTCAATGTATGCCAATGTATGTTTTGAAGGTAGGTATGTATGTATGTATGTATGTATGTATGTATGTATGTATGCATGTATGTATGCATGTAGGTATGTAGGTATGTAGGTATGTAGGTATGTAGGTATGTACTGTAAGTATGTAGGATTATGATGTCGGTATGTAGGATTATGTCGGTATGTCGGTATGTGCGTGCGCGTATGCATGCATGTACGTATGCATGCATGCTTGCATGCATGCAGGCAGGTGCGTAGGTAGGGTCAGGTGGGGGAGGTAGGCAAGCAGGCAGGTAGGTAGGTATGTATGTGTCCGTTTTAAACTTATTACGGGTTTTCCACATTTTGGGTATCCCATCGTAACGAAACCCTTATAATCATTATAATTTTAATCCTTAAATATATACAATATGTATTATATATATATACACACATATATATAATATATATATATGTGTGTGTGTGTATGTGTTTGACTGCGCCATCCACATAAACCTTTGGCAACGCCACGCAAAACAACTGTTGAATTGCTGGGCATGACTTCGCATGCACCGCAACGTCTCCCAAGAACAGGCCGCCAACCAACCCGTTCACAAAAGGCCGAGCACTTAGGTGAGCGCAACAAGGATTTGATAGAAACTGTGCACACAAGAATGGCTTCATATCCGCATCTCAAATTTTCATGCACAAATATGTGCAAGTCTCGTCCAGCAAAACACATGACCTATGAATATCGGAGCGGGTGCAACATCATATGTCATGTAATGCTACTATCGTTTCCTCTTCCGAATCTGTGCAGATTCCGCTTTCATCCTCCCGCGCTACCCCAATTCCTTCCTGACTTTCTGGCATGCTATGAGCTGCCTGCGTAAGGCAACATATCATCTCGCACCCGCGCTGATGCAAACATCCATGCAAGTTTTGCCACCTGCGCAGAGCAGGCAGGGAAGGAAATGCTTGTTTGCGAGATGCTTCCAAAAGAAGGCCTACACCCTATCGGAGTTGTGTTCCCAAAGCAAAAAGTTGCCGTCAAAAACTTGCAACCAGAACGGCCGGGCGGTTTCTGCCGTTCTACCAGCTGTTTTTGCTTTAACAAACGGCCGCTGAGCAAACAGTGTTGCTGAATGCAAAGAAATGCCTTTCAACCTTTCAACTAATCCCCGCCTCTTGCGGCGCCAATGGCCTTTCATCCAGCAAGCTTTGGCGGATCGCTTCGCGGAGTGGCGGCAAAAGCTGCCTGAGGATGTCCTGTCACATGCCACTGCAGTTGGCGCGGCCAATGTTTGCCTGTGTCAAATCAGGCCTGGGGTTTGCTACAGGGGAGAAAAAGACTTACCGCTATTGCGCGCTTGTGCTGCCTGCCCCTAGAAGGTTTGCGGCAGCAGCCACGGCAAAAACAACCAAGCTTCGCCGGCTCGTGCTCCACTGATTATGGAAGTGGCCCGCGTCAGCTTTGGTGGCTCATTATTCTGCGCCTCTATCAGCTTTGGCGGCTCTAGCGTGGCAAAATGCCGCGGCTAACGCCAAAGAATGAGTTGCAAAGCCGCTGAGCTGCATCTACCACCAGGTTTGTATAAGTTTGTTTGTCCATGACATTCCTGCAGCTGCCGTGCGCATTGGCTGGTATTTGTCCGTGCGAGCAGAGATACTATAAGCAGATATAAGCAGCCGAATTCTTCTGACAAATTTCACATAGTACAATTTAGAATCCTGCAAACAATGGTTCCTTGAGCTGGCGCAGCGATTACCAGAGTTTGAAGCGATGCCCGATGCCCATTGTTTCAGTTCACTGGTTCTGTCATTGTGGTCAAGGAAAGTGACTGCAATATACTTCAATCACCCTACAAACAAACCATAAATATCCGTGGCTCAAAAAGACAAACACACAGAAAATATGTGTGGAATACTAAGCAAGCAGGCCTAGTGAACATGACATGATGAACATGCGTGTCTCTATATGTCATGCCATGGGCACTATTTCAAAACATGGGAAAGGACGTTACAAATGCTCTCTGAAACTGTCTCACTTTTAACATCTCTTATATAACTATATAGTTGCGCCACAGACCAATGGAAATAGTGGTCAAACAATCGGCCATGAACGTTGCGGTAGTTCAAAGTTGAGTCAGTCGATCTTCCGGTGATCTAGTTTCCTTCTCCCGAAAGATTTCCCCTATCAAGTCCTCTTCCGACCATGTCTGAGTCCGACCTGTCTTCAAGGCACATCGTACTGACGTGCTGACATGTTCGGAACAATTTTGAAAGCACCTGCCATGGGTGGACAATGCAAGATTGAGAGCTGTACTTTTACTTAGTGCAACACTATGCCTGGATATTGAACGGTTGCTCCGTATGCTGTTCCCACACGCGCTGAAAGCATTAAGCAAATATAAAACCATATAAAACCTGCACAAACTCAGAAAGATATTTTTTGCTGAGCTTTGCATACTCAGGATATGCCCAGAATCATGATGACTCCACATTCGATTCAAGATTAATTAGTACTTTAAAATACTTTTAAAAAGTGCTAGCTTATTAAAAGCACACTGGCCAGGAAAAAAAAAAAGCTTCTTTGGGGCAGAACTGATGGGGTGGTTTCAGCAAAGGTGGGAGGCTCAACATCTTGCAACGTGTTTATTTGAAACCAACATATCTCATTTTAATTCCCTCCACCTGTGCAACTTGTTCTCAATGTTGCTATGGCTTTATTGGGCTTTCCTATGTCATGCTGAGGCAAGTGGAACAAGTTGGCCCCCGAGTCATCTGAGTTCACTGTTCAACGACCATGGAAAACATTGAACTAATCAATCATGTTATAAGAATGCTAAAATTGTGTTATCATTTTCTCGCTGTACTACTCTTTTTTGCTTTGCCCCAGTGATAGTAACAGCGGCGGCAAGCATAAAAAAGAGGGAAGGACAACACGAGAAGCGATACTGACAGCTGTTTTTTCTTGCTGGTACCAATGGTACCATGAGTCGTTTTGCACGTGGGTCACCATGACACAGTGTTCACGCCACAAACATCTGCTAAAAGTTGAGTCCTTCTGCTTGAAGTGAGCAACTGCAAACGCTGCCAGGAGAATTTGTGACACGGACAAATCCTCCTCTCCAGGCCGTTGTGGACGACTGCAGCTGGTCCACAGGACATGCTCAATGAGCCTGCCACCATTCACGGCGCAATGAAATCATTGAGTTCACAAGGCAAAAAGAAGGAATGCCATGGAATGCCCACTTGATCAAGATTGCATGTGATAGCAGGCTTGCAAAACTGAATGGTTGAGAGCCCTGACCGCACGAGGTGATACTCTTGAACTTGGGCAGGCCGTTCACAGCATTTGTTGCCGACGCAACTGTTGACCACAAAGCCCTACAATCGTCTAAACTCTAAACCCATGAAGTTTTACAAGTTTGCTGCTCTTTAGCAATGCAAATGAGAAGCCTCAAGAATCCCAACGGACATTTCTCCTTGACTTCCTTTCAAAATTCCTTTCCAGCTCAAGGCCTCAACCACCCTTCATCAGTCCGTGGGCCTCTTGTATTGGTAGCGGCCCAGGTGGATGTGGTGCCCAGCGCGGCTATACAGCGCCAGAATATAAAGACCCTCCGCTGGTGCCTGGTGCGATGTATCCACGTCATGTAGTAACTTTGCCTTGGACTATCCACATATATCATATATCCAATTATATCCACATCATTCCACATTTCAAGCTGGCGACCCAATCGTCACCAAGCTAAACCTTCTATTTGAAACCGAAAGGTCATGTCACGATTTTCGCATTCTACTCTTAGTCTTAGACAAAAGAACTTGGCAGGAGGGTGTCTATTTTTTGCTTGACATGTTGTGCCCAAGGTTCCCAAGGATCTGGGCAGGGAATCCGGTGTCTCCAGCGTCTCGCAAAATTCTCCACCTGGAAGCGAATCTGCAAACCCGGTGCAGATTAGCAGGTAGGCAATCATGCAAAATGATTAGCAGCAACAACTGCTTACTGAGCCAATTAAACATAATTAAACCGCCTTGAATACACAAAGAAAGTCCCAAATCATAAATTCACGAAGCAACAGCGAAGCAAAAACTACAGTAGCGTCTAGCGTGTCAAACAAAGGTGGATAAGCTAGAACCACTCCCTATGTCCGAGTCGCAAGTTCCATGATGTTCTCTATATGCATTAAAGAAAATCTATGCATCCTTTTTACCGCCCTTCCCGCGCTCCAAAGATTTCAAAGCCCCAAGGCCATGCTTTGCAGAGGCTGTTGAGGCTTCTGGGAAGCGACAATTCTGCACATGACCCTGTGCAAGGCCTAGCAGCAGGCACGAATGGCCTGGAAAGCGTCCATGTCCATCATGGTTCATCATTTGAATTTGAAGCTCTTTGACTCATCCTTGGCTCATCATGGCATGACGGCCTGACGAGCCATTCAACATCATTCAATCTATTCAATCGCAAAGAATACCAACTTGCTGGCATCTAGCATCTTTTCCTTGAAGGATGGGAAGTCCGCCCATGAGTTGAGCAGGTCAACCACTTTCTTAGCATCACCCCGGTCTGCAGCACCTGACTGGATGAACTCATTCAATTCAGGAAGGAAGGATTCCATGCTAAAACAAGGAATCATTTGCACCATCCGCCCTTCAATCCACATCTCGATCAGCTGCATGTACTCGTTGTGAATCGTCGTGTAAATCAATTTGTTTTCCTCAGTTCAGTGCGAACCCCACGACGCCTTGGATCACCTTTCATTCTGCCATCATTCTGCCCAATCCCCCATACTGCAATGCAAGCGAAGGCAAGCATGTTGTGCGAGAATGGAGTCAAATGCCAACACATATTGCTCAACCCTAGCGAAGAACACAGAGGAGTCATCATATTCACGTGAATTCCAATAAAATGTTGTGTAGCGTATCGATTTTTTTATATTCTAGAATATTCTAGATCTCCAGCACAAAAAGCAGGCCATCAAATCCAAACTTGCTACAGTCCCATTGAACTCGAGTCGCTTCCTGTTCTTCGAACTCACGGCAGTGCTTCCGCTCAAAGGTTCGTAGAGTTTGGATGAATTGAGGATCATTAATGCACTGCATCATCACCTCAGGGTACAGTAATCATGGCTTGCCCGTGCTGAAACGACAACCCTGCAATCCTGGGTCACACTTGAAGAACTATAAAGACTGTTGAAATATGTTGAAATATGAAATATGGCTGTGTGCATGGTGTCAATGCACCAACACAGAGCGGCTGTCAACTTTATATGGGACACTCAGACACTCAGCCAAACAACCCTTCCCTCATTCTTAAAACTGAAAGCCCTCCCAAGTGCCAACCTGAAAGCAATAGTTGATATCGTACGCCATGACCCACTCTGACTACAAATACCACAGTGCCCAACGTCAGGGGACCGCGCGTGGGATCAAGGCCATACAGAATGCGCTTGAGCCTCAAATACCCTGCGACGATTCAGAGCCGTGGTTCAAGTCAAAAGATTTGATTCTATGATGATACTTAAAAAGCCCTGCAGTCCATCACTGATTCACACGGCATCACCTCTGCGAATTGTGATCGGGCATGATCAAATGATGCAAAAACTAGCACGAGTACAATCTTGGCAATCTATCACAAGTGAAGCTATTCCCACAGTAGTGATACAACATGGTATAAATACAACGGTATTACAGTTTGGCCATGTCTTTATTAGCAGGATCCAAGACTCCGATTTCACCCGTGTTCATCCTCCAATTGTCGGAAGCTTGCCCACAGCCTTTCCTATATGCAACTATCCGGCCATCATATGGGAGAACACCCACACCCCTGCCTCCAGAATGGAAGGCAACCCTTGAAGCAACTGTTCATCATCTGCACCCGGCTCATGCAGTTGCAAGCGCGGCTGTTGACCGGGCCATGGAAAGGCAAGATCAACAGAATGATTGGCGCAAAGGCGACGGGCTGCTGGCTGCAAGATTGTGGCCCCACCTCAAACATGAGAAAATCTGCGATCTGACAAGGCGATCCCCGCTCTGGCCCTGTAAAATTGCTGCCGAGCTACTCCGAAAGGTCCGTGCCAGCAGAGGAGTCATGGCAGGTGTGAAAGCTACAGCAGCTGCTCCGGTGATCTCCGGTGTTCACTAGAATCGCTCGGTATCAATGATCGTCAATCGTGGCTTGGGTGCTGCCCATGAACTGCTCTTCTGAAACGCATGTAGGGCCTGCCAGAATTGTTGATGGCTTGACGTGCCTCATCAGCATGCCCAAGCAAGTCACACAAGCTCAACCCTGCAGCTCCGTCGGAACATACATCTATCTATCTATCTATCTAACTATCTATCTAACTATCTATCTATCTATCTATCTATCTAACTAAGAAACTATCATTAACTGTCTATTTTTATAAATATAAATATATACATATATAATATCTATAATATACACACATAAATATATATACATATTATGCATATATGTGTGTGTTTGTGTGTGTGCGCATAAATATTTATGTGTTAACGAGCTTGAGCCAGGAAAAGCCATCATTCTGCCCGCATGTTTAGTTGTCCTAATCTGTCCTAATCATGTCTAGCATGACAACATTAGATGCTCATGGAGTAGATGGAGCAAGGTCGGTTCCGTGGTCCAGAATCACTCCTTCCTGTCAAGAACGAAGCCGCGCGCAAAGCACAAAAATCCAGTAAAATCCTACAGCAAGCATCTGAGCCCTCAAACCTGGTATTTAAGAGGCAGGGCTCTAAAGGCTTAGACTGAGACAACCACCCTGAAATTCTTAGATGATCTCATATGATATTTGACTGCGTGGGTGCCAACAGCTGTGGAGGACTGCCCCCATCCACCCCAGGCCCCGACATCCGGTCTCGACAGGGCTTGAGTGTGAACCTGACACCAAACCAAGGCATGAGAATCATGAGAAGGCGTGATGCCATGCTGCACTCCGTTGACTCAAACCTCAAAAGGATGCTCAGAAAATGAATGAACTTGGAACAACTTGGACATATGTTCAAACAACGAGTGGAGTTGCTCGCTTACTTCTGGAACTACGTTGCTAAATGTTCTCCACTAATTACAGGAAACAAGTCAAATGTGCCCCGCAAGACGTGTCAAGTCTGACTAAAGGTCTAATGTTTGCGTTAATGTTAGCTCCTGATTAGTAGCTAGGGTCGCTATTGTGGCAATTTTTTCCAAATTATTCTGAAACTCATGTATTGTTTGGAGGGTTCGCTTTTGTGGCAAGACAAAATTGGGAGAGCCCTTTTTTGAAAAAAAACTGTAATTGCTGAGAGGCAATTTTTTTCTCAAAAACGCTGTAGCTCAGTCAAGTTTTTGCTCATCTCTCTATCTGAGCCTGTAAATGCATCTCTATCTGAGTAAGTTTGTTTGCTGGGTTCACTATTGCAGCAAGCTGTGCCAGAGCAGCCCCTGGAAGCCCAGAAGAGAAGCAAGTTTTTTCAAAAATTGCCAAATTCAAACTGCAATCCTTTCCCAAAAGAACCAATCCCTTATTAAACGCTTATTAAAGAACAGCTTTTCCACAATTTTCCAAGGCCCTGGACCAGGAGAGGCTCCATTTCACTTTAGTAGGTTTGTTTGCTGGGTTCACTATTGCAGCAAGCTGTGCCAGAGCAGCCCCTGGAAGCCCAGAAGAGAAGCAAGCCTTTTCCAAAGGCAATTGCCAAATTCAAACTCCAAGCCTTTCCCAAAGGAGCCAATCCCTTATTAAACCCTTATTAAAGAACAGCTTTTCCACAATTTCCCAAGGCCCTGGACCAGGAGAGGCTCCATTTCACTTTAGTAGGTTTGTTTGCTGGGTTCACTATTGCAGCAAGCTGTGCCAGAGCAGCTCCTGGAAGCCCAGAAGAGAAGCAAGCCTTTTCCAAAGGCAATTGCCAAATTCAAACCCCAAGCCTTTCCCAAAGGAGCCAATCCCTTATTAAACCCTTATTAAAGAACAGCTTTTCCACAATTTTCCAAGGCCCTGGACCAGGAGAGGCTCCATTTCACTTTAGTAGGTTTGTTTGCTGGGTTCACTATTGCAGCAAGCTGTGCCAGAGCAGCCCCTGGAAGCCCAGAAGAGAAGCAAGCCTTTTCCAAAGGCAATTGCCAAATTCAAACCCCAAGCCTTTCCCAAAGGAGCCAATCCCTTATTAAACCCTTATTAAAGAACAGCTTTTCCACAATTTTCCAAGGCCCTGGACCAGGACAGGCTCCATTTCACTTTAGTAGGTTTGTTTGCTGGGTTCACAATTGCAGCAAGCTGTGCCAGAGCAGCCCCTGGAAGTCCAGAAGAGAAGCAAGCCTTTTCCAAAGGCAATTGCCAAATTCAAACTCCAAGCCTTTCCCAAAGGAGCCAATCCCTTATTAAACCCTTATTAAAGAACAGCTTTTCCACAATTTTCCAAGGCCCTGGACCAGGAGAGGCTCCATTTCACTTTAGTAGGTTTGTTTGCTGGGTTCACTATTGCAGCAAGCTGTGCCAGAGCAGCCCCTGGAAGCCCAGAAGAGAAGCAAGCCTTTTCCAAAGGCAATTGCCAAATTCAAACTCCAAGCCTTTCCCAAAGGAGCCAATCCCTTATTAAACCCTTATTAAAGAACAGCTTTTCCACAATTTCCCAAGGCCCTGGACCAGGAGAGGCTCCATTTCACTTTAGTAGGTTTGTTTGCTGGGTTCACTATTGCAGCAAGCTGTGCCAGAGCTACAAGTACTACAAGTACTACAAGTACTACAAGTACTACAAGTACTACAAGTACTACTACTACAAGTACTACAAGTACTACAAGTACTACAAGTACTACAAGCACTACAAGCACTACAAGCACTACAAGCACTACAAGTACTACAAGTACTACAAGTACTACAAGTACTACAAGTACTACAAGTACTACAAGTACTACAAGTACTACAAGTACTACAAGTACTACATGTACTACAAGTACTACAAGTACTACAAGCACTACAAGTACTACAAGCACTACAAGTACTACAAGTACTACAAGTACTACAAGTACTACAAGTACTACAAGTACTACAAGTACTACAAGTACTACAAGTACTACAAATACCACAACTTCATCGGCAAAAAAACAATAGTAATTAGATTTCAATTTTAGCCAATTGAAATCCTTACTTAATTGAGGATATGTTTTTCTTTTGGGAAGAAAAATTTTGATTTTCTACTTTAAAGAGAGTCCAGATATAGTTAAGGGAGGGGGGGGGGCCACACACTAATCAGGAACCAACATTATCATTGCTGGCATCAGCAATGATTTTTAGTTTTTGGCAGAGTCATAACATTGTTTCATAACACGTGCTATCGGCTGCCAGCATCTGCGCCGAAATGTTCTGATGCCTCTACAATCCAGGCATGGCAGGCATGGTCAGAGTGTTCATTTCGCATCCCTTGCCATCTGCTCTCATCCTCCGCCCACCTTTGCCAACTGAGCATCTGCTTTCACCACCAGGTTAGAGTTCTGAGGCAGGAGCTTGGAGGGTATGGGATGCGGCTTGGAGGGCCAAGGGTTCGAGTTTGGCCCCTGTTTTGGAAACAAAATAGACTGTGTCGACCAATGCAAAACTTGACCATCAAAACCACAATTCAGAAAACATGGCCATGTGGGAAACTGCGTGTGGATCAAGCCAACGGCAGCACAGATACATCTGTGGATTGACAAAGTCCTACCGTGACCAAAGAGAAGAAGAAGTCGAACTTGCGATTGTCATGCCAACAGCATCAGGCTTGCTTCGCTGCACCTTCTTTGGTGCATCGCTATCACCTTAGCCGTTCTTGGCGTTGGGCTGGCCCGACAAGGCTCCCTGCATGCCTTTTGCATCAGCTACTGAATGAATGTCCAATACTTAGTCTACCATTTCCCAAGTGTGCAATGAATCTGCAACAGAAAATTGAGCTGCTTGGTCCAATAATTTCTTCCTCTGCAGTTGGCCTGGGCCTTCCATCAATCAAGTGCCTGGCTATCTCTGACATCTGGTCCGGCAATGCTAGTGTAATCCATGCCTTGGACGCTGTGAGATTTTAACAGTACAATAATCGAAGGAAGTTTAGAAATCAAAATTCCGACAAATGGACAGATGAAAAGCAGAGACGGGAAGGGAGAGTCAGAGAGAAGAGAAGAGTAGAAGACAGAAGATCAGAGAAGAGAAAGAGTCAGAAGAAAGAAGATCCAGGTGCGCGAAAAGGTAGGAAAGTCGCGAGACGCTGTGTTTTTCCAATGGTTTGTGGCTCCAGAGGGTCGAAAAGTAGGCTCGCTAAAGCTGCGGGTGCGGAGCCATCTGGCCAGATGAGAGATGAAAAATTGCACGCCGTTGTGGTGCGAAGCACATTTCGAAGTCAAATGTACAAAAACACACCAGCTCCGGACCACTTTTGGAAGTTGAGATGTCGAAAAAGTGCACGCCATTGTGGCAAGAAGCGCCTTTGCAAGTGAAAAAGCTAAAAACACCTCACGTTCAAAGCACTTTTGGAAGTTGAGATGCCGAAAAAGTGCACACACGCCGTTTTGGC